TGACGTCAACCAGCCACTGTCGTTGAAGACAAAACAAAAACAACAAAAACGTTTAGCGCGGCCCTCGACGGGCCCGCGGGGGCCGCCGCGCCCGACGAGGCCTCCAGGGGCAGCGAACGGCGCAGCAGCGGCGGCTGCGGAGCCTGGAAGAGGCGCGCGGGCAGAGGGCCAGGCGGCCGTCACCGCAGAGAGGTCCAGCTCGGTAAACCAGCCCCTCAGCCCCCTCTCCTCCGAGTGCACCAGCAGGGCGCCGTCCCGAGACTCCATGCAGATCTCGATGTCCTCCGAAACCTCCGAAGCCGCGTCGGACCAGGGCCCCGCCCTCCGCGCGGAGGCGACGGCCCACCTTTGTCGACGTCCCCGAGATGACGCGCCCCGCCCACGGGCACCCCCGAGAGCGCGGCATTTCTGTTCTTTGGGGCCCCTCGCGACGCCGCGCGCGCGCCCCCCCCGACAGAGGACAGCGCGCTGACGTGCTGGGCGAGGTCGGGGGCGCGGCCTTGCGAGCGCGGCGCAGCCGACAGGGGCAGGTCGCACGGCTTCGACCCCCTGGCGAACTCGGAAGTCATTTTTTCCGACGGCAGGCGAAATCTCCCGGATTGAGTCGTCGACGCACGAGTGGGAGGCTGGGTCGAGAACGAGGTTCTCGCGGTGAAGATGCAACTGATATCGCATAGCTGACAGCGGGCAACATGTGCCAAAGGCTCCTGCGCGGCCTCGAGGACCGCGCTGCCGCCCCTCGCGGGAGCCCGCGCCGCCCACGGGTCGCCGACGCGCGCCCCCTCGCTGGGCTGGGCGCAAACATCAGATGAAAAAACGGCAATCCCAAGACGGCCCAAGAGGCGCCCAAAAAGGTCATGGCGAGCCCCGGCCGCGTCCCAAGAGGGGCCCAAGAGAGGCAACTCGAACTGACACTCCGAGCGCCCCGCCTCGCCGGGGCCGCCGAGACCGCCAGCGGGCGCCAGACGCACCCCCAAGGGGCCCTAAAAGGCCTTACGGCTCCCAGAGGGTCCTCCGGAGGCGCTCGCCCGTCGACTTTATATTACATTGTTTGGGGCCGGCTGAATGGTGTGAGCTTCTTGAACCACCGAGCGTTGCAAGGGCAAGCTTGGGGCGCTCGCGGCCGAGCTTGCCCGCCCGTGGTGGTGCCTGCGCCTGTCTGGACCCCCGAGCTGTTCCAGCCCGTCGAAGCGAGGGTGTCGGTGATGTCGCTGAGATTCGCAAAGTGGTTGATTCCCGGCTGCTTGAGCTTCCAGGCGCGCCGCTGCTGGCTGAGGACCACCGCCTCGCGCCGCCTCGGGGCGCAGCCGCGGGGTCGATCGCTGTCGCCATAATTCCTTCTGCCCACCTGGTCGCGGAAGTGAAATCACTCTTTTCCAGCTCAGGGTGACGCCTTGGACTAGGTGCCAAACCAGCGGGCTGCGAAGAAACCGACGCATAAAGACCACGAGGAGCCGGCAGGCTTGTGCGACGTCAGCGTGCGGGGACTCGGTCGACAGCATTTGCGAGAAACTCTGCGATGCGGGCGACAAAAACATCCTCCACCATATCTCGAGAGGCACCGACCACGTTGGGCAGGCCCCGAGCTTTTGGAGCTCGGGGTGGCCAAGTACGTATCTCTGGAAGACACGCTGTTTCCCAATAGTCCTTTTTGTGCTTGCTCGCGGTGCCAAGCAAGCGTGGGCTTCTGGGCCTGTGATCTCATGATAAACATATTCACTGGCCGTGTTGGCCGAATCGATGGAGGCCGCGGCCGCGCCTCCCTGTCCCGCGGGTAACGCCCCATCGCTCTCCGAACCCCCCTGAAGTGGGGAGGGCGACAGCTATTCTGCGATAGCCCTTGTCCTTTGCTCCAACTCCAACGGCAACCAAGAGGCGAGAGAACAGAACAATCTCAGCGAGTCGTCCCTTTCGCATGGCGCCAGCTCGCCAACCGTGTCGAGCCGCCACAACCTGCAATATCTCCGTCGGGGAGATCTCCGCCGGGTAATTCCCTTTGCGCAGACACCAAAGCCACCTCAGCCAGTAAAGTCGACTTGCTTTGGCTGCGGAAGCATGCCGCGCCCGCGCCATGGCCTCCCGACAGTCCCCATTCACCTCTTCCATATCTGGGGTCGCGGGCTTCAGGGCCCAGGGGATCGGCAGGGGCAGTGCTCCGCAACCAATCGATCGCCGAAATCGACGTACGCGTGGCCGCGGAATCATGTGCCGCGCCCGCGTCGTGGCCTCCCGACCCTCCCCAATCACCTGTTCGATTGCCCGGGTCGTGGGCAACAGGGTCCACAGGCTCGGCGGGGACATCGCTCCGCACCCGCTCGGTCGCCGCAGTCTCAAGAGAAGGACCACCTGCCTCCGTCGACGGCTCGTGTGGGACCGCCGATCAGCTGCCTGCGCACACCCGCTGTCGACCGAGAGGAAAGCCGATGTTCTGCGCGAGACCGGTGTCGTCAGTGCAGTCGGAGGTTGGGGGGCGAGATCGCAGATGAACGGAGACCCCCCAGACGGGGAGTCGTTTCCTTTCGTTCGTGTCGCGCGTGCGGGCGAGGCGAAGCTGCGTGGGCGCGCGAGAGGAATGAGCCCGTCGCTGCTAGGGCGAAGTCAGGACAAATGATTACCCTCCGCCCGCCCGTGCGGCGGTGGCTCGCGGTGTCCCGCGGTGTCCCATGGTTTCCCGTGGTGTCCCGTAGTGTCCGCCGTTGCTGGGACGAAACCAAGACAAATGATGATCCTCCTCCCGCCCATCCGGCGGTGGCTCGCGGTGTCCCGCAGTGTCCCGCGGTGTCCCGTGGTGTCCCGTGGTGTCCGCCGTTGCTGAGGCGAAGTCGAGACAAATGGTTCTCCCCCGCCCGCCCGTCCGTCCGTCCGTGCGGCGGTGGCTCGCGGTGTCCCACGGTGTCCCGTGGTTTCCCGTTGAGTGAGATCGATAGTGACATCGATAGTGAGATCGATACTGAGGTCGATGTGGTGCCCCGAGCTGTCCCGTGGTGTCCCAAAAAGTGAGATCGATAGTGATACCGATAGTAAGACCGAAAGGTGTCCCGTGGTGTCCCGTTGAGTGAGATCGATAGTGGGATTGATGGTGTCAGGGATAATGAGATCGATGTGGTGCCCCGAGGTGTCCCCAAAAATGAAATCGATAGTGAGATCGACAGGTGTTCCGTGGTGTCCAGTGGTGTCCCTTTGAATGAGATCGATAGTGAGATCGATGTGGTGTCCCGAGGTGTCCCGTGGTGTCCTATGGTGTCCCGTTGAGTGAGATCGATGGTGAGCTCGATAGTGAGACTGATAGTGAGATCGAGAGGTGACCCGCGGTGTCCCGCGGTGCCCCGTGGTGTCCCGTTGGTGAGTTCAATAGTGAGATCGACAAGTGTCCCGTGGTGTCGCGTGGTGTCCCGTTTAGTGAGATCGATGGTGGGATCGATTGAGTCAGAAGTTGGTTGCCCCCCCCCCTGTCCCCCCCCACAACCTCCTTGTATTGGGGTAGTGGTATGGAATGCTTAGTTCGAACGAGCAGTAATACGTCCATGATGAAGCCCCATTCGGCGTCCGATGTCCTCTGGATGACCTGCCAAGTCGACGCGGTGTCGCCCATGTGAGGTTCAAGTTCGATGAGAAAGTCGGCTGGTGCAAAGCCGCTGCGTAAAGACTCCGTAGGTGACCTCCGATTCCCATCAACGCGTCGTGGGCATATCATACTAGAGGGTGCCCATCCATGTTGCACAGAGGTGTGTGTTCTGAGGTGAGTCCCATGTGGTAGCTGAGGCACGCATGCACAGGCAAGTGGATTCCTGCCGCCACGGTGGCAATCAATCACCTGAAAGTCCCTTCCAACGCGGCGCAGCGGACCAGCCGTGACCAAGGCCCCCAAAAGCGTCTAGGACGAGAAGACAAAGTCTATGCGGAATATGCTGCGCCAGCCCGAGAACATGGGGCCCTTCCAATGTAGGTGTTGACCGCCACCAACCCCAGTTCGTGCACGAGTGGAACAAACTGTCGACCGCGGACCGGCACAGCATGCAGAAAGAATACAATATGCACGGGTCTTCCTCTTCCGGAGCCCACTTACGGGTGCGGCGCGAAGGCGGCCAGTGCACTGTGTAGCATAAGCGCAGAAGACCATTGAAGAGTAGGGAATTGCGGCCAGCCGCCTGGCTGTAGAGTGCGGAGCGGCTCGTGCGAATAGGGTGGCGAGTGCTGGATACAAATGCTCGAGGAGTAAGACAGAACGGAAACCAATATACGCAGGCCTCTTACAGGTGCGACGCGGCAGCAACGCGGGAGTTCAAGCGGGGGGGCGAGAAGAATAGGTACATGCGACCAACTGCCTGGCGGAAAAAAACACGCACACGTCCACTTGTGAATGCTCCCCTTGTTCTGTCCCCCGTTTCGCCTTGCTGCTCGCCTAACTCACCCCAGTCACCAGACCGCACAGCCCAGCTCGAGCGCGCCCGCCACCTGTGGTGCTGCGTCTCCAGCTACCCATGATTTGCTACCGAGTGAGCCGGAACGGGAGCAGAGTCTCGGAGGCAGAGCATTCTCTGTTCGCGGCGACAACAGACGTTATGGGCGGAGGGGGGGTGGGACGCACAACGTAAAGCCACGCCCCCCGCCGTGACAGACTGAGGTACCGGACGCTCTGGGGCGCTCCGTGGCAGCGCTAGAGGCGCGCTGGGCAGGGAGGGGCGTCACGTGCTGGGGGTGGGAGGAGGGGGGGGAGGGAGAGAGGGGGGGTGGGCACGACGCGCGTCATGGCCGCCTAGACGGGAACAGAAACGCGCCTTCATGGGGGAGCGTGGGGACCCAGACATTGCGACGTCCTGTTTTTTTCAAGACGGCGTCCCTGGAAGTCCCGACCCTTTCCACGGGACCGGTTTTTCGTCCTGGGTTGTCGTTTGGCGGTCCCGAGGCCCTGTGCGAGGGCTCCGCAGGGCCGAACATGTCCCAAGCCCCCCCGCCCCGATTTTCTTTGTACGGCGCGACCATGTCGGGGGGAAGCGGTCCTCCGCCGCCGAGGCCATGCGCTGCGCCAGCTGCGACTGGAGCGCCTCCAGCTCGGAGAGGCCGCTGGCGCCGTCCCCCTCCGCCTGCCGGGGGGGGGGGGAACGGGCCCTGGGACATACAAATAAATACACACAAATAAAAAGGATTCCCCATATTTTCCTATATTTTATGGGTTTTTGTCTTCCCCCCCACCTCACATATTTTCCCAATATTTTCCTGGGAGTCGACGATTCCTTGTGTCTGTGTGTTTTTGTCCCTCCTGGGGGGGTGGGGGGGGGAGGGGCGCCGTCCGCCCACGCCACGCGCGGGGACCGCCCTGGCCGGGCCCGCGCCGGGCAAGGGAGAGCGGAGGAGCGCAGTGCCAGCGCCACCGCAGCCGAATGGGCAGATGGCCGATTCCAAAGCCCTGAATCCAAACATGCGATCGTCTCTCTGCACGAACGAGATGGGCACGGAAAGAATGGGTACAATGCCCAACAGCAATTCCTGTTCATTTTGAACAGGACTCGCTGTCCGCGCCGCCGCGGCCTGTCCATTCGAGACAGAAGGCCGCCTGCCCAACAGCGGCCGCTGTTGGTTTGGGACAACATTTGTTGTTGGGCATTGTGCCCATTCTTTCGGTACCCATTTCGGGTGTCCAAAGTCTCTCTTGGGGGCGCAACTTTTGCTTCCGCCGGATTCCGCCAGCCTTCCGCCGGCTTCCGCCAGCGGAGGCGGCCACGTCATACTTCCGCCGCCTTCCGCCGGCCTGCCGCCGCCTTTCAGTCCTCGAAGGCAAGGCCCTTTTGTGGACCGCACGTGCACACGGAAGTATCTAGGATAGGGCCGTCGCCAGAAACACAGCGCACGCATGTTGTGCAGCGCTCACGCTCGCGACCCTACCACGAGACTGCCCAGTGTTCTTTGCGCGGTGGCGGTTGCGACCATAGTTTCGTAGTCATTTTACTGTCCCCGATCTTCAGCACGACTCAAAAACCATTTAACCGGATAAAGCCAACTCCGAAGTGAAACACGTGTAACTCCGAGCTCTCATGCAAGAACTACGCATCGAATAACTATCCCAGCCATCCCCTCCGGCCAGCCCTGATTCGGGCGCTTCCTTCGACAATAACATAGTATAAGCGGAAATGGACCTTGGCCAGATTAGGCAAGTTTCCGACCACGGACATACCGGCGCCGATGCCGAACTCAACCTCTAGGGAGCTGCAATGTAACAAGATGGGTCCTTTTGGTGGTGTGGTGCCGCTGCTTTTCAGCGTCACGCTGGACTCACCTCCGCTGTGCAGCTCGGGAAGGCAGAGTGGATCTCCTCGCCAGGGTGGCCCTGGTTGCGGCTGCCTCGATTCTCCAAGGGCAGCCATCCAGCCGAGACCGCGAAGCACGACTCTCTTCGCGCTGCGGGTCACCCAATTCACCGTGGATCCAGGAGGGGTGGATCCACGTCTGGAAGCGACGTGCTGCCGAAGGCAGATTCGCAGAGGCTGTAATGCAACTTATCAGACGTGTCCAACCAATCGTTGCATACTGCATCATGCTGTGTAATCCTATTACATGGTGTCTCCCTCTAGCCCCTCTCCCCCGGCGCCACGCCACATCCGCCGACCAAAGGGGTCCCTGTCCTTCTGGGACTCAAAGGCGTACCACCTACGAAGTTGATGAGTTGGCCTCTTGGGCCTCTTGGGGCCCCAGAGGGCTTTCAAGACGGCTCAAGATGGCCCCGAAAGGGCCCAAGACAAACCCATGATGGCCCAAGATGACCCAAAGAGGGCCCAAGAGGCCTCCAAGACGGCCCCAAGAGGCCGGACCCCCAAGAGGCCTACAAGAGGCAAACACACACTGATGTTCAGTAGGTTGTCGACGGATAGTTGAGTTCGCGCATTGTTGGACCTTCGGAGGCCCATGACGGCCCAGACAGCCTCCAAAACGGCCCCAAGGCGGCCCAAGAGGCCGCAAATAGAGCACCAAGACGGCCCCAGGGGGGGCCCCGAGAACGGCCGAAGGCGACCCCGCAAGAGCTCCAGGTGGCTCCGAGTGGCCCCCAAGGAGGCTTCCGATGGGGCCGAACTGCGCGAGAGCGCTCCAAGACGACAACAGACGCCCCCTATGAGGCCCAAAGGGGCCCCAAAAAGGCCCCCCAAAAGACAAGAAGCTCCCAGGAGGCCCCAACACCGAGTCGCATGGTGGAGATGGTGGCGGTTGGATGTCTGGCCGCTCCGACCCGGGAAGCAGCCGACAGCGGAGCAGAAAGGCGTGCTGAAGGCATGATCTCTTCTCCCGCCGAGGGCGAAACAAGAAACGACAACCACCACCACCCGCAAGGGCGGTAGGAAGATGGTGTTTGAGAGAGTGGATGCGAATACGAATCGGTTCCCATGCAAGGGAGGCGTGCCGAAAACCTCGGACGCCATCTGTCGATCGATCTAGCGCCGTGTGTCGCGTCGTGCAACACGACTCAGCAGAATCACGATGGTTCCGAGCGCGCCTGAGCGCGCCACAAGGACGTCCCCAGCAGAGCCGCAATAGACGATCGTTGTGAGCTCCGACGGTGGCCCTTTGTTTTACTCGCAACGCATGGTTTTCGAGTATGGGTGGCCTCCATGATTTCCCCATGAGGGCCCCCCACCATGCCCAAGAGGGCACCACGATACTCACAGAAGGGCTCCCAAAGTTCCCAGGCTGGCCACACCCAAGATGCCGCGAACGCATTTTTTATGGTCAGCTCCTGCCCTTACCGTGGCCGCTACGTTCCTCCTAGATCCTCCTCATCCTCATCCTCCCACACCCTCCTTCCTCATCCCTCATTCCCGCCCTCCTCCTCCGCCTCGTCCTCATTCGTCTCCCCCCCTTCCAGAGTTCCGACTGCATGCGCGGTCCACTCCCAGGTCTGCTCACAAGCTGATCCCAAGCGTCGGCTCGCTGGCCGCGCCACTCCTTGGCCTCGCCGCGCGCTCCTGCACGTCGCTGGCCGTGGCGGGTCGCCTGAGCATCGCTTCTGGGTGGTACCGCTCCTCGGACCCCGCGAGGCGTCAACAATCTTGGAGATGGGCCCGGAGGTGGCGACGAACAGGCCCCAGGAGGCCAGAATACATGCTTGCCGCAGCTCCGGCGGACGCTCAGGACGCATGGTCGGAGCGGCAGACCTGGGTGAACAAAGACTAACCTGGTCCTCCTCCTCCTCCTCCTCCTCCTCCTCCTCCTCCTCCTCCTCCTCCTCCTCCTCCTCCTCCCCCTCCTCCGGGTGGCCGCGGGGGAGGAACGAAGGCGGAGCGCGCGCCCAGAGCAGGCGGAGATCTTCGCTGGCAGAGCGCTGGCGGCGACAGGCTCCCAAGGGAGTCGTGCGAAGGGTGGCCCATCCGGGGCTGTCTGGGAGTTGCGGGCAATCGTGATATCCATATCCAGTGCGTCTTGGACTTTCTCGGAAGGGGCGCCGCAAGGTTGAGGCGCAGTGGATCTGGATAAGCATCGACTCTCTAGGGGCCAGATTTTTATCCATGTCCAGTGCGCCTCGGGTTTCTGGGGAAGGGAGTCCGAAGCTCCAAGCTGCAGCGGATATGGACACAAGTCTTGCCCGCAGGAGTGGCGGCTGAGCAGGTGCTGCCCTGCCAGGGGGTGTAGGAGCGTGGGCTCGACCGAGGAGGCTCAAAAGGGGAACCGGGCGGCGTCCAAGGTGCCACATGCATGCTGTGCTGAGCCGAGGTCGGCAGCGGTCGGGCCAGAGCAAGTTCAGGGAGGTGCACACGACTGCCAGGCTGCCGATGGACGTGTGTCAACGCAGCGTCCTACCCAGCAATCCGGCGTCTCGGTTGTTCGAGACACGGGCCCCCGACCTCTCGACCGCTTCCCCAGGACCCGTGTTTCATCCCGAGTTGCTTTTTGACGGCCCAGAGGCCTGGAGGAGACTCAGAGAGGCCGAAAACCATGGAACACATCGTTTTCGAGACCCTGTGGCCCCGTTAAGGACCCAGAGAGGCAGAAAAATATTGGAACGCCTCGCTTTTGAGACGCCGGATGTCTGGGCATACCACGGGCGAGCGGGCCACTCCTCCAGCCGCCCCGAGCGTGAGAAGGTCTGGGCATGCTGCGAGCTGCAGGGCCTGCTGCTTTTGATCCCGGCCGTAGGCTCCGCGGCTCCCGCCTCTCGCGCGCGGCGCGGCAGCAAGGGAAGCCCCGGCGCGTCGTCGCCGGCTCGAGCGTCGCTGCATTCGGGTGGGGGGCGGCCACAGAACTGATTCTTGGCGGCGCGCACAGGGGGGTAGGGGGAGGGGGGAAGGCATCTCAGAAGCAGGCTGCTTCTGAGAAGGCGCCGGCCTTGCATCTGTAGATAAGGCCCACGCCTTCTGAGAACTTGGGGTGTTTCTGAGGAGCCATCCCCCCTCCCCCTGCCCCCCTCTGCGCGCGGCCGAGATGAACCCCAAGCTTGATTGCTCGTCGAATCTACGGTCCATGCAAAGAATGCTCCGCAGATCAGCGGAGCATTCCGCGCTTTCTTCTTGGCTTCGACGAACCAACCAACTTTGGGGGGTACAGCAGTTCTGCAGTCGACTGCGGGGGGAGAATCGTGCACCTTTCGTGCTCCTCTGCCGCCAAAGGAACCCCGTTTTGGGGTGCAAGTTCAGGGTGCGAGAGGTGCACCTCTCTTCACCCCATGTGTCGCCCCCACCCCATATTATGCAAAGCCCGACTGGCGCCGAACAGAAGCTGCTCACCGGGAGCCGAACTCCTGCGCCCAGTCCCTGTGTCGCTGGACGTCGCCGGCGCTCACGGAAGGCTGTACAGATTTCAGCGCGGACTCGAAGTCCGCGGCGGTCACCGGCAGCTCGCCCACGTCGGGCGCCAGCTGGCCCGCGTCCCGCATCTGCACGAGCTCCGACGGCGAGAGGCCGTCGACCAAGCGGCGCATGGGGCTCATGGACGCCTCTCGGCAGATGAGCTGGATGTCCGCGCCGCTGTAACGCTCGGTCTGAGCGGCCAAGGCCGGCAGGTCGACATCCTCCGACACGCTGATGTTCGAGTACGAGCTCGACTACAGAACTGCCTTGCCCCAGAATGGGTCTCTTCGTCGAAGCTCAACAAGCAGTGTAGAATATGTTTGTGCATGTCTGGTTGATTCGTTGAAAACCCCGAAGTTGGGGTGCATCAGTCCTGCAGTCGATCTCCCACTCGAGATGTCCTTCATGTGCTGCCGGAGGATCTGTAGCCGTGCGGCCTCGTCGGGCAGCGGGATATAGATGCGCTTCTCGAGCCGACGCCGCAGGGCCTCGTCCAGGTCCCAGGGTGCGTTCGACGTGGCCAGCACCAGGAGGTGACCAGCCCGCGCGACCCCAGGGTCCGGGTCGCTCATAGGGAAACGACACATGACATGAGCATGACAATTCCGAGGTCCGCGCGGACTTCTCGGATCGGCGCTGGAGACCCCTGGCGGCGTCTCCGGCGCGGCCCCTGGCGAGCTCCGCGCACCAAGGAGGGGGTCCAACGCCGATCCGAGAAGTCCGCGCGGACCTCCGAGTTTTGATGTCTATGTCATTGTTCGTTTCCCTAGCTCAGCAGTCCATCCATGTGGATGAGGAACTCGGACTTGAACCTGCGCGAGGCCTCGTGCTCCCCCCCGCCGCCGCGCTGCGAGAGCAGCGAGTCGATCTCGTCGAAGAACAGGATGGCCGGCAGCCGCGAGCGCGCCGCTCCGAAGAGGGACCGCAGCAGCTTCTCGGACTCCCCGCGCCACTTGGACGTCAGCGTCGCCGAGCTGCAGTTGAAGAACGTGACGTTCTCGGTGCACGACGCCACCGCCTTCGCCAGCATCGTCTTCCCGGTGCCGGGGGGGCCGAAGAGAAGCACGCCCTTCCACGGCCTGCGCAGCCCGGTGAAGAAGTCGGGCAGCAGCAGTGGCAGCACCAGGGCCTCGTTGATGGCGCGCTTCGCGTCGGTGAGGCCGCCGATGTCCTCGAATCGCACCTTGAGGTCGGCGACCACGATGTCCCGCTCGATCGCACAGGCGAGGTCCATCTCCTCCCGAGCGGCCCCCCCTGCGCCGCTCACCGGCGCGCCGGCGGCGTAGGCCGCGGCGGCCGCCGACACGGCAGCGGACGCGGTGACGCTGCGCCCGGGCTGCGCGGCTTCCTCCGCGGGGGGCGGCCTCGCACTGGGCGCCACCTTGAACCTGTTGAGGTAGCAGCGCGTGCGGCCGTAGACGGCCAGGCCCACCACGGGGGCCCTGCCGCTGCCGGAGCCAGGTGGCGGCCGCTCCAGCGGCAGGTGGCTGATCAGCGACACGCCGCCCAGCGACAGTGACAGCGTGCCTCGGGCCACATCCGCCACCACCGAGACGTAGCACTGCGGCCTCAGCAGCGGGCAGGCGGGCTGCGCGAACAGCACCTGCGTCGTGGCGTTCCTCCTGTGGCTCTCGACCTTGACCTCTCGGGTGTCGAACCGCAGGCTCACGCCGCAGAAATCGCAGCCAGAGGTCAGGTCCGCCATGTCGAGGCAGTCGATCAGTAGGTACACCTGCTGGTCTGGCCAGGACTCCCCCGGCACACACTTCAGCTCCGCGGCGAGCTGGTACGCGCCACCCTCCAGCAGCCCGTGCTGCTCGGCGCCACCGTTGTAGCAGCAGGCGGCGAAACCAGCAGCCTTCTTGCTCTCGACCACGAAAACGTTCTTTTCCTTGGTGCTGATGTTCGGCGGCGAGCGAGGGGGTGAAGTGAGAACGAGAAGGCCTTCTTTTTCGGAAGGCGGCGGGACTTCTCAGAATCCCTCCCCCTTCTGAGAATTCTTCTGTGCCTTCGGGGAAGGCTCAAAAATGTTTCAGAAGGCCAGGGGACTTCTGAGCCTTCCGTGAAGGCCCTCCCCCTCTGCTGGTGGTTTTCGGGACATAGTTTGGGTCCCCAGCGGCCGTTCGGGACGATATGGGCTCCCCCGAAACGCCCTTAAGCGCAGCTGCTGAGGAGCCTCCCGAAGCTGGAGAGCCGCCGGGAGACGACGAAAACGCCCGAAAACCTCGAACGGTCCCTGCCCACCAAAGCCCTGACACCTAAATTCCAGTCGAGATCTGAAGCAGTCTGGATAGTTCAATAAGCCTGGAATGCTTTTTTGGCACTCTGGAAGATCCGGGTTCCCGCCTGAGCGCGCCGCCCCCTCGCTTCCCCTCCCCCCCTCGCTCGCCGCCGAGATGTACATCTTCCCGGCGCTGGTGTTAAGTCGGGCCTGTCCTCCTACAGGGGGATTTCGGACGACACCTCACAGGAAGATCCCAAACTACCCCCAAATGGTCCACAAGGCATCCCAAACATCGCCCACCTACTACCATTTTTTGACTATTTCTAGATAGCTTCCTCCCATGGAGGGACAGGCCCGACTTAACGCTGGTGAGCTGCCGCCAGCCCTGACCATAGTCCTCCGCCTCTCGGGTCGGGCGAAAGGGGGGGATAGCAAACGGGGGGGTTGAGAATCAGCTCACGTACCTGATTTTTCCTGGCGCCTCCCGGCGCCGGGAGGCGGCTATGTACCGAGGAATGGGCCCCTCGGTGGGGCCGAAACCAGCTGCATGCAGCAAATCCCAACAGCCCTTTGGGCGTGAGTGGTTTAGAGAGCCCGCTCTGTTCTCAACCCTCCTTCCCCTTCGGGGAGGGGTTTACCCCTCCCCCTACCCCCTCCCCCTGGGCCTGGAGAGGTCCTTTCGCGGGTGGTCAGGGGGGTCCTTTTCGACTCCTGGGAGGGCTAAAAAACGACACCCCTCACGAGGATTCTGGCCCCGACGGGGGGGACCAGAAAAAATGCTCTCCTCTTCTTTGAAGCCAAAATCATTGATTGTACTACGGTTTTGGCCCCATTTTGGCCTTCTGAGGGGGTAGCGCTCATTACAGCTCCCCTCTTCCTTCAAGGCAAAATCATTGATTTTACGAAGGGTTTGGGCTCATTTTGCCCTTCTGAGGGGGCAGCGCTCATTGAAGCTCCCCTCTTCTTTGATCCATCCCCTCCACGATGGCCCCAAGAAGCGCCCAGGAGGCACCAAGAGGCCCCAAGATGGCCCCAAGAGGCCCCCAGGAGGCCCCCAAGAGGCCTCCAAGAGGCCCCCAAGATGCCCCCAAGAGGCCCCCAAGAGGCCCCAAGAGGCTCCCCCGAGGCACCCAAGACGCTCCTGGAAGCCCCTGGGGCCGCCAAGAGGCCCCCAAGACGCCCCAAACGGCCTCCAAGAGGCTCCCAAGAGGCCCGAAGAGGCTCCCCCAAGGCACCCAAGACGCTCCTAGAAGCCCCTGGGGCCGCCAAGAGGCCCCCAAGACGCCCCAAAAGGGGACGAGGTGCCCGAACGCCTCACGCCACGAGGAGCCCGAACGACTCACACCAGGACGAGGGGCCCGAACGACTCACACCACGAAGAGCCCGAACGACTCACACCAGAAGGAGGGGCCCGAACGACTCACACCAGGACGAGGCGCCCGAACGACTCACACCACGAGGAGCCCGAACGACTCACACCACGACGCGGGCCCCGAACGACTCACACCACGAGGAGCCCGAACGAGTCACACCAGGAGGAGGGGCCCGAACGACTCACACCAGGATGAGGGGCCCGAACAACTCACACCACGAGAAGCCCGAACGACTCACACCAGGACGAAGAGCCCGAACGACTCACACCACGAAGAGCCCGAACGACTCACACCCGGAAGAAGGGTCCGAACGACTCACACCAGGACAAGAAACCCCAGACGACTCAAACCACGAGGAGCGCTTTCTCTCCCTCCTCCTCCGCCTCGTCCTTCTCCCGCTCCCACCACAAGGAGGATGTACAAGGAGGCGGGAGGAAGGAGGAACAGGGGAGATATGCGGGGGCAGGCGGAAGCACGCCTGAAAAACACGACTGTCGGCATGCGTCGCAAGAGTTGCTGTTTTGAGATGGGCTGGTGGGGATACGCGAAGCGCAAAGAATTTCGTACCCCCCCCTTTCCCAATCCCCCCCTTTCGTCCGGCCCTCCGCCCCCTGCGGGCGCGCCGTGCTGGCGGAGCTCTGCTGCGTGCCGCCGGCGAGGGGCCCCTCGCCGCCCCGCGCGGAGGGGCGCCGCATGCGGCCGCGGCCCCTCGCAGAGGCCCGCGGCGGCACCAAGGCGGGCCGAGCCAGGAGGGCTCGAGCCAGGCTGCGGAGGAGGCCAGCGACGACACCCTCCCTTGGGCGCGGCGAGCGAGGGGGGGGGCGCGAGGAGGAGGAGGAGGAGGAGGAGGAGGAGGAGGAGGAGGAGGAGGAGGAGGAAGGAGGAGGAGGAGGAGGAGGAGGAGGAGGAGGAGGAGGAGGAGGAGGAGGAGGAGGAGGAGGAGGAGGAGGAGGAGAGGAGGAGGAGGAGGAGGAGCGAGAGGGGGGGGGGGGCGAGGAGGAGGGCGCCCTCTCAGGAGGCGGCGGGGCCGCTCGGAAGCCCTCGCAGCTTCTGGGAGGCGTGTGTCTGTCTTCGGGGAAGGCTTGGAGCACTTCTCCGCAGTCCGGGGGATGTCCGAGCCTTCTGAGAGGGCCCGCTACTTCTCACTTCCCCCCTCGCTCGCCGCCGATTCATGAGCTGGAGACCTAGAGCAGCCTCACACGCTCCACGATGGGGGCCGCGAGGGGCCACTGCAAGTCCGGGGGCCCGCATGCCCTCACCGGAGGATCGCCTGGAGCCCTCGCACATGCACACGCTGTGGAAGGTACAGGGGGAACGAAGTCGCATGATGTTGCCTCGAGCGATCACCACCAAGGACTGTCAGTGCATGGAGATCTACGTTATTCCACTGTGCCCATGCTCTCAAATATTGGTGTATGCTCTCGATACGTGCTGTTGTTGTGTATTCTACGCTTTGGGCATCTGCTCCGTGCATGTTTCCTGGACTTGCCTCCAGCGTGTATAATTGATGTGTGTGCCAGGCGTCTGCTATTCCCCACTCCCAAATATTAGTGTATGTGTGTGCATGTGTGTGTGTGTTTGTGGTGACTGGTTATGGTGTAGATCTGTGGTGTCTTCTTGTGGCGCGTGTAGCGGAAGCATGGTGTTAGTCTAGTATGTTGGCGTCAGCCGAAAGATGATTATGTGATGTGCTATTGGTGTTTGTGATTGGAGGATGGTATCGGAGTTTGGTTCAAATGTATCCTCGTGGTGATTGGTTCTGTTGTGCGCGTTCGGTGTATGTGGTCGATGTCTCTTCTGGGCGTCGGTTGTTAACGTATGTGTTTGGTGCGTTGTATTCGTCACGGTTAGTGGTGAGTGCTGCTGTTGTATGTTCGTGCCGCATGTGACTGGGGCACGTGACCTGTATAGGGTGCAAACTCTTGGCGCGTGCGTGTGATTTCATACGCCCGGCTGATTCCGCTCATTGGAGCGTGCTGGTGGTGCATGTCACTGGTGTGGTGATGGTGTGCGTTTGTGTGCTTGATGTGTGGTAGTGATGCTTATATGGTTGGCGTATGGTGAGCATACAGGACCTTACAGGACCTTCTTGTACTCGGCCGATGACTGATCTTGGTGGCTACCATTGAAATGTTGAGGGTTAAGAATGCAAAATGCTGGTGTACGCATGCGAGGTACGTTCCCGATGCATGCGCATGATAGTCCACATGTCTGTCTCAAATGTATGTGCGGGGTGTGATGTCGGCACGCCTGGATGGCGTGACGCCTCCCTGGTGGGGCTATCTGCCCATGACGGTTGGTCGGTTCCATTACGTCGTCATTGGACTCTAGCGGAATCTCTGGGGCCTGGCGGCCGCGGTGCGCAGGCCGGGCGAAACAGGAACCCGGGCACCAACCTTACTCTCTTGGGGCGTGGCGGGCGCGGTTACCCTGAAAGGTCGATAGACCCCTCCCAATAGAGGGGGTAAGTAATCAGAGTGCGGGGGCCGAACGGTCATTCACTGTCCCTGGGTGCGTGGCTGAAGTGGGCATCCGCGGTGCGGATTGTTTGCTGCTGTTTCTTCGTATTTGTTGTCGTCATCCCGCCTCGACCTGGCCCGCAACCTGGCCCGCGACCCACCCGCGACCCTCCCGCGACGCGCCCGCGACCCACCCGCGCCCCCCCGCGGGCCCACCCGCGACCCACCCGCTACCCAACCCGCGACCCACCCGAGACCCGCCTGAGATCCGCCCGCGACCCACTGCGCGACCCACCCGCGACCCACACGCGACCCACCCGCGACCCACGCGCGAGCCGCGCGACCCACCCGCCACCCACCCGCGACCGACGCCTGACCCACCCCGCGACCCACCCGCGGCCCACCCCGCGCCCGCCCCATCACTCTTATCCGCAATTGCGGGGTGCTCCATTATTTGTCCGGCGGCCTCATTGAAGGACTGGGATCCCACCAATAGGGGGAAACTGAATATTTCTGTTCCGCGGCACCCGCGGCACAACATGAAGGACGAGGAGGAGGAGGGAGGAGAAGGAGGAGGGAGGAGAAGGAGGAGGGAGGAGGAGGAGAAGGGAGGAGGAGGAGGAGGAGGAGGAGGAGCAGGAGGAGGAGGTTTCAGGACCAGTCCTATGCACCGCCGAGGGAAAACAGGGGGGGGGGACCAAAACGAAGATCCTTTAGCAATTGCCTGGACTCTTGGGGCCTGCTGGCCGCGGAAATTCTTCTGGGCGGGCGAGGCGAGACCAGCCAGGGACCACCCGGACTCTCTTGGGGCCTGGCGGCCGCGGCATGCGCGGCGGGCGAGACAGGTCGGAAACCTTTCGTCTCAAATCTGGCAGCCCCAGCGTGTCGGGCGGGAAAGAACACATCCTCGATCCTCCCCTGGACGTCGTCGTCGTGGTCGTCGCCACCGTCGCCACGATCGTCGCCGTCGCCGCCGACGTCATCGTCGCCGCCGTCGCCGCCGTCGTCGTCGTCGTCGCCGTCGCCGCCGACGTCATCGTCGCCGCCGTCGCCGCCGTCGTCGTTGTCGTCGCCGTCGCCGTCGCCGTTGTCGCCGTTGTCGCCGTCGCCGTCGCCGCCGCCGCCCTCCTTCTAGAGATGCGCTGACCCAGGACAGCCAAGGCCACGCGAAGTAGCTCCGAAGCCCAGGTCCGCGGAGGTAGCGGAGAGGGCGGTCGGCTCCGTAGGGTTCCCTGCGCAAAAGGGGGCCCAAGGGAGACACAAACGAGTCGACACGCAAATTCGACGACTTCCCGTGCTCCCAATATGTCCTGGATGTGTCTCTTCTCGTCCATCCCCACAATTTCCCACCAAAATCAGCGCTTACTTGTGCTTGTCTCACTCCTCCTCCCTTGAGCAGGAACCGACTGTCCCGGCATTCCCATGGGCCTACCACGACATGTTCTTAGAACCCCAAAAGTTCCAAGAACAGAAACAATGCTCTCAGAACACAGGCACGGCGCATGAAAACAGGACGTCTTCGGCCAGAAACGCTCTGATCACAATTCGTGCAGACCACAAAAAGGTTCTTGGAACACTCGTTTTGGTGGTATGCGGGCAAACCTTAGGTCGAGCATGTCCTCCTACAGGCCGACTTTGGACGAAAAATAAGAATACTCAGGGCATGCCCAAAACATTATTAAACTTAGCCTGGCGAAAGACCCAACCATATGCAGTTGTGAGTACCGCAATTGTGAATATCTTTTTCGATGCCGCCCCCTATGGGGCCACGAAACGCTGTACTGGGTGGGCAATACGCAGGGAGCAAGGGCCGTGTTGGGTGGTGGCGGGCGCATGCGGGCGGTGCCACTGGGACCTTCGGTGCAGCTCCCTATGGGGCCACGAAACGCTGTACTGGGTGGGCGAAACGCAGAGAGCAAGGGCTGTGCTGGGTGGTGGCGGACGCATGCTAGCGGTGCCACTGGGACCTTCGGTGGACCCCCCTATGGGGCCACGAAGCGCTGTACTGGGTGGGTGAAACGCAGGGAACAAAGGCTGTGCTGGGTGGTGGCGGACGCATGCGGGCGGTGCCACTGGGACCTGCGGTGGAGCACCCTTATGGGGCCACGAAGCGCTGTACTGGGTGGGTGAAAACAAGGGGGCAATGGCTGTACTGGGTGGTGGCGGACGCATGCGGGCGGTGCCGCTGGGACCTGCGGTGGAGCTCCCTATGGGACCAAACGCTGTCTTGGGTGGGTGAAACGCAAGGAGCAAGGGCTGTGCTGGGTAGTGACGGACGCATGCGGGCGGTGCCACTGGGACCTTCGGTGGAGCTCCCTATGGGGCCGCGAAGCGCTGTTTTGGGTGGGTGAAACGCAGGGAGCAAGGGCTGTGATGGGTGGTGGCGGACGCATGCGGGCGGTGCAACTGGGACCTTCGGTGGAGCCCCCTTTATGTGGCCACGAAACGCTGTACTGGGTGGGTGAAACGCGGGGAGCAAGGGCTGTGCTGGGTGGTCGCGGACGCATGCGGGCAGTGCCACTTGGGGCTTCGGTGTAGCTCCCTATGGGGCCACGACGCGCTGTGCTGGGAGGGTGAAGCGCACGGAAGAGGGAGGAGGATTGGGAAGAGGAGGAGAAGAGGAGAGGAACGCGGGGACCGTCTCCTCAAAACGAGGACTCAACACCACAGGGTGGTTGGGAAATAGTCAAACATCTCCTCCTGTAGAGGGACATGCCCGACTTCATTCAAGCTGGGGCGCTTCGCCGCTGCTCGGCACTCCCCGCCAGCATGCCCTCCCGTGCGGGCCCTGGCCGCGCGGCGCCCAGCCCGGGCCGAGAGGGCCTGCGCGAGGCATCCGAGGCCGCGGGCGAGCACGGGGTGCGAGCCGGCTCTGCCTGGCGGGGGCGCCCGCGGGGGCGTGCGCGTTGGAGGCCCTGGCCTCCAACGTGGTGACGAGAGGAAGCACCACTAAACATAAACAGATATACCAAAAATAACCATAAAAAGAACGTCTGAAAACAGCATAAGTACCATAAACATTCAATGAAGAAAGCGGCATAAACATTAACTGTTGGCGCTCCGCGCGGATTTCTCCTATCTGCGCTGGGCCTCACTCCCCCCTAGTGCGCGGGGCGCGCCAGGGGCGGCGCCAGAGGCGCCGCCGGGGAGGCTCAGGCGCGGAGACGAGAGATCCGCACGGAGCGCCAAAAAATCATGTTTATGCAATTGCTTGCTTCGAACCACACTCAAATCTTGCCATCGCTCGGGGGTCCATCCTCCGTGCATGCTTCGGCGTCGTGCACGCATGTTCCGCAAGACGATCCAGGATGCTCCTCGAGGGCCCCCACCGAGAAAATATTGCACACGTCCGGGCGATATCAAATGATGCAGGGCTCGAGCTGAGCAGTGTTGCTCATATTTACTATGTGTTCGTTTTCCTTCGTTCTGTCTTCTTTCTGCCTCTGCCGCGGAACGAAATCAAAACGGAAACGGTCCACGAACTCGCTAAAACACTGTTTAGCCACACTCACGCCATGCCAGTCGATCCGTCGCTGCTCTCTCAGTAGGTTGACTTAGGAAGAGGAGAAGGAGGAGGAGGAGGAGGAGAAGAGGAGGAGGAGGAGGATGAGCAGGAGGAGGAAGGCGACGACGACGTCGACGACGAGGGAGGAGGGACGAGGAGGGAAACGCCGAGGAGAAGGGAGGTGGCTGAGGAGGTACGCAGCTGCAAAGAGACCCAGACCTCCAACGCGATGACACACGACAGACGGTGGTCAGCCTACTGGCTGTACACATTTGTTTTGCGTCGGCGGCGAGGCAAGGGGTCGTCTGCGCTGGCGGAGGGAGCGAGCCCCTCAGTTGGACGGGTCACGCCCCGAGAGGGGCTGTACACAAAAACGCTTGTGAAGCTACCTCTGCGCGAGGGGCCCAGACCTCCCACCGTGTTCGGCCCTTGGGGGTCCCAGCGCCGGGCCCCGGGGCCGTCCCGAAGACTGCTTACCCCCTCAGCCCACAGGAGGTTCGGCGCACAGCTCCTCGTAAACCAGGGTAGGGACGTTTTTAACGCCCCTGACTGTGCGTTGCAGGTCTCTGCGAAGTGGCTGCTCTCTCCTCTGCTGGGGTCCTACTCTTCCACCTGCGGGCGGTCCTGGAGGGAGCTCGCTCTTTCATTCTGGCACACGATCGCTGCAAGTCTTCGCAAGAGGAGTCCTGTCAGCTGCAGCGTCTGAATGTCATCGTTTTATGGTCGTGCCTTGTGGCGATGGGGTCGTGCACCGACGGTTGCCCACGGGCACGGTCGCTGGCGCCCCCCAGTGGTGGGGCGCCGAGGCCGTCAGCCATGTGGGCAACTCCAGATCTTCGACCACGACCATCTGATGTTGGCAGCAGGGGAGCTCCACCACCACAGCCTCCCTCTTCCCTCTTCCCTCTTCCCTCTTTGCTCCTGCTCCTGCTCCTTATCCTGCTGCTCCTGCTCCTCGTGCTCCTGCTCCTGCTCCTGCTCCTGCTCCTGCTCCTGCTCCTCCTCCTCCTCCTCCTCCTCCCCCTCCCCACCGCTTCCATTAATCTTCCCCTCCCCCCTCTCCCTCCCTCCCTCCTCCGTCTCCAAGGGCTCCCAACTTCGCGCTTCGCGCTGCGCGAAGCGCGAAGTGCGAATAACTTCGCGCTCTCGCGCCGCCTCCAAGGGGAGAAGAGGAGGATGAGGAGGAATCGGAGCCAAACCGCGAAACGCGAAGCGAGAATAACTTCGCGCCCTCGAGGGCGCCCTCCGTCTCCCCATCCCTCCCTCCTCCTCGACCCCTCGCACCCCCCCCCCCGGAGCTCGCCGCCCCGCGGCGCCGACGAGGGCGGGCGGGAGCCCCCTCGAGCACAACGGGCGTTGCGCCATGGGGGGCGACCAAGGCCCTGACCTTCCAGAGTGCAGGAGGAGGAGGAGGAGGAGGAGGAGGAGGAGGAGGAGGAGGGGGCAGGAGGAGGAGAACGAGGAGGAGGAGGAGGAGGAGGAGGAGGAGGAGGAGGAGGAGGAGGTGGAAGAGGAGGAGGAGAAGGAGGAGAAGGAGGAGGAGGAGGCCCAAACCTACAGACCCATCCAGACTGCTTAAAGCCTCAGACTGGCGCCGCACTGTGCCTCGGGCGTCGTGCGCTCTTCACGAGCCTGTCTCGAGGGAGCTGCTGCCAGAGCGGAGCGCTGCCGGTGCACATCCTTTGTGCACCTCGAGGACCCTCAAGGGCCCCCCCTGGGGGCCCCCCTGGTCGACGCTTCTTCGCCCCCCCCCCCCCCGAGTATCGCCCCCCTCCACTTGAGCGACGCCCCAGGGCCCTACAGGGCCCCCCAGGGCCCCCCCCGGTCTTCTTCGCCCACCCGCCCCCCGATTACCGCGCGGGTGCGGCCGCCGCAGGAAGCCCTCGCAGGAAACCCCACCCCGAAAACCCGCGCGCGAGGCGCTCCCACTCGCCATCGCTCGGACGTCCATTCCGTGTGCCTTTTGCGGTTTCGTGCGTGGTTTTTCGCCAAATGATCAAGGATGCTCCTCGATGGTCCTCGCCGAGAAAAAATGCACACGTCCGAGCGATGCCGAGACCCAGAGGGGAGGCCCAGAGCACCCTGAGCGCAGCAGCTTCTTCCACGGCTGCGGGGAGTCACCGCGTCGCGCACGGATCGAAGAAGCCCGGGGTGCCCTGACGAAAAGCATATGTGGTCTCTCGATGCGCGCCCCCGCTGCATCGCCCCCCTCCATTCGAGCGGCGCCCGACGGCACCAGGAAGCGAGCCGGCCCCGGGGGCGCGAGAACCCCACCGAGGTGCGTGCGGGCTACCCCTGCGCCGCGGGCCGCGCCGCCCGACCCTAAACTTCGCCTCGCCCGATCGCCCGGGAGCCTGCTGCCCGATCTTGCCATCGCTCGGACGTCCAGTCCCCGTGCAGCCTTTTGTTCGGTGCGCCGTTGTTTTTTCGCGATGCTCCGAGATGCTCCAGGATCAGGGTGAGAATGACGTCATGATAACATGGGCTCAGGAGGATACGTTCCAAAGATTTCCGAGAGTATCTAGCTGCCCGTGTTCTTGCAGCCAGTGCGGAACAGTCGCAAATCTGGGAACTCCTGGAAACCTTGCAACTCTTGGAACGAATCACTACCATGACCTCTTGCTCCTCTGAAAGATGCTACAGCTTTGCTGGCGCCGGCCACGCCGAGACGAGTGCATACGTCCGAGCGATGCCAAGCAGTCGAGTCCGAAGAAGCGACCCCGTTCAGGCTGCCAGAGTGCGCCCGTCGCCCTGACCCGGCCAGAGACGAGACGACGGGCAGACCTTCGCCACCACCTCCTCCTCATCCTCTTCCTTCTCCTGCAGCTGCTGCTCCTCCTCCTCCTCCTCCTCTTCCTCACTCCTCTTCCTCATTACCCTTCTTTTCCCTCCTCCATTCTCCTCCTCCTCCTCCTCCTGCTCCTGCTGCTCCTTCTCCTTATCCTCCTCCTCCTCCTCCTCCTCCTCCTCCTCCTCCTCCTCCTCCTCCTCCCTACTCCTTTCCCTAATCATCCTTCTCCTCCTCCCTCCTCCTCCCACCCCCTCCTTCACCACCTCTTAATGCTCCTCCTCCTGACTCTCCTCCTTCTCCCGCTCCTTTTCCTCATCCTTCTCCTCCTTTCCCACCTCCTCCTCCTCCTTCGCCTCCTCCCTCCTCCTCCTCCTCCCTGACCTCCTCACTCCTGCCTGCTGCCTCCTCCTCCTCCTCCTCCTCCTCCTCCTCCTCCTCTCTGCACACCTTCCACCTGGAATAGCGACGCCAAGTCGGCAACCGACGGACAGAGAATGGGATGTGGCGGCACGAACAGGGCACAGCGACAGCTAGACAGACAACGCAGACTGAAGACACTCCCTGCTTGGCTCTGTCGTGCATGTCGGCGACTCCATCGAACGATCAATCCACAGTTCCGCACTAATTGCGGAGAACACCCCTCTGGCATGTGCATTATATATGGCGAACGCTCCCTCCCTCCATACAGACAAGCAAATCAAGCGGCACATTGGATGTTGGTCGCCTCGTAACCCTTGGGCCCCATTGCCATCTCGAACACGACGGCGTCCCCCACTTGCATCGAATTCAATTCGATGCCGGAAGCAGCCAAGTTCTTCTTTCCAAGGAGCACGCTGTCTTGAACACCGTCGACCGTGGCAAATCCCCAACCATCCTTGATCGTCTTGATCGATCCAGCAACCTGGCGGCCCAGAAGGCTCTCCTGAACATTCACGGCCTTTGGCCGGCCCTTCGGACCCATCGCGATCTCGAAAGTGAAAGAGTCGCCCACGTTGGCCGAGAGGACGTGGGGGTTGTCCTTCAGGCCGAAGAAGACGTCTTGCTCGAGGCCAGGCCCAGACATAAAGCCCCAGCCGTCCTTGAACACGCTGAGCGTCCCAAAGCGCGTGCCCGACGCTGGCGCGTGCGCCTGCACCGGCGCTTGCGCGCGTGCCTGCCTGGGCCCCGGGACCTGTGCCCACGTCGGCACCGCCGGCGGCACCTGCCGCGGCGGCCAGGCCCCGGGGCCCCCCGCGCGCAGCACGTGCACCGCCTGCGCGCCGTTGTTCCGGCCGGCCTGCGCACCGCCGCGCTGCACGAGGCTGAACTCCACGGCCTCGCCGGGCTGCAGCGGCGGCCCCGAGAACTGCGGCGAGTCCTTCATGTTGCAATCGCAGGAAGAACAGAACGTGGCATACAGTGGGGGCTCGGTCACAAAAAACCTCCGCAAAAAACCCAACCCTGAAATCCGCGATTTGCTCAATGAAAATCCAAGTTTGTCGATCGAGTATCATCCAGATCTTATTGGGGATCCATCGAAGTCCAAGAAACCCAGGGCACCCTGGCAAAATCCAACTGGTTTCTTGGCACGCGCCCCCACTGAAAGCGTACAGTCTGGGAGCCCCGCGCGGACTTCTCGGAGCGGCGCTGGAGCAGCCTGGCGGCGCCATCCCCTGGTGCGCTCGGCGCGCCATGGAGGGGGGTCCAGCGCCGATCCAACACATCGGTGCGGACCGCCGGACATTTCGCTTATGCCGCTTTCGGTTCTTCGAGATAGATGTCGCCGGGCACCTGGCTGCAGAGGAGGAAGCCCCAGCCGTCCCGGAAGTTCTTCACGCTGCCATGCCGCCGTGGCCCCTGCGGCCCCTGCGGCCCCTGCGGCCCTTGCGGCACCGGAGTCCGCGAGCGGTCCCTGCCCCCCGCGGCGCCGTGGCTCGGCGTGGCGTGCCAACCTGCGCTCTGCGTCGTCATTGCAGGCCGCCCACCTGTCCACATCGGGCCCCAGCCTGCGGCCGGCCCACCCTTCGCCATCGCCCCTCCACCGAGGACGCGGATGTTCGTGGCCTCGCAGCGGCCATTCGTGTTGGCGGCGACCTCGAACTCCAGCATCATGTTCGGCGCGATGGTGATGCCGGCGGCGCGGAGGTTCTTCTGGCCCACCATGATGTCTCCACTGAAGGCCGTAGAAGACGCAAAGCCCCAATCTCCGCGGACGCTTTTGACCCTGCCTTTGACCCGTCTGCCGATGCATTCCACCTGCTCGCGCTCGCAGACCTTGGCAGTCACATTCACGGCCTTGTCCCGGCCGTCCTTGGGATTCGTCCCGAGCTGAAACGTCACAGCATCCCCTGGCGAGATCTGAGACAGAGCTGGGTTGTCCAATGCTCCGCAGAACAGCTTCCCCTCCATCGACGGCGACTCGATCAGGCCCCAGCCGTCTCTGAAGCTGGCCAACGTGCCCTCGAAAAAGCCCTCCGGAGCGGCCGCTGCCTCCGGAGGCGCCACGTCATTTGCAATGGCGGTGGCAACCTGTGCTGGGCCCACCGGGGGCTCCCCGTAGCGGGTGACGTTGAAGCCCCTCAACTTGCCGCCTTGGTCCCGCACGTCGAACTCCAGGACCTCGCCCGCCACTGGAAGAGGCCCGAGACCCGGATTATCCCGGACGTGCACCATCACGTCGCCCTGCAGCCCATCCACCGAGACGAACCCGAACTCGCCCCGGAAGGACTTCACTGTGCCACAGGTGCGCGCCTCCTCACCGCTCGAAGCTGCTGGCAGGGGGTCGACCAAAACCGCATTTTGCGTTTTCGTTTTGTTGTCGTTTTGAAGCGCTGTGAAGCAAAGAAATCTGGCCGATGGCCCAAAACAAGGCTTGAGCGCAAATCCGAGGTCGTGATTGGCCGATGGTGGGCCCTGGACCCTGGACTGAAAACCTAACGAATACCAGCGACAAGACAATCATCCACGAGATTTCCAGAACACAATGTTGGTCGACCCCTGGCTGCTGGTGCCGACGCGTCCAAGGAGGACTGATCTAACGCCCGTGCTGCAGACATCATGCTGGCAGAACAGCGCGTAAGAAGGCCGCGGAGAAGAGCCGCGTGGACGGGGCTGCATCTTGAGCCAACACGACTACTCTGGATGGGGCACGTGCTGTCGGAACGGGTGAAGGGGGGGTTGGAGGAGGAGGAGGAGGAGGAGGAGGAGGAGGAGGAGGAGGATGAAGAGGAGGGGGAGGAGGAGGAGAAGGAGGAACAGGAGTTGGAGGAGGGAGTGAGGGGGGGGGATGGGCAAGCTCCGTCGGAAGGTTAGTCGCCCACCCCTCGATCTATATACTATATCCCACCCAGAGTGCAGCCATGACCAAACGAAAACGCTGAGTCAGAAACGAACGGGCTTTTCTGGCAACGGCGACCCTCGACCACGCACGGGGTCCCTGATCGAGACCTCGGGAGCGGCCCGCAATCAGATGCCCTCTTTAGCCGGCCGGGCGGTAACAAATGGGCGGTGACCCAAATGAGGGCTGAAAAAAAACGCCTCCTGGCTGCCCGGTCAGGGCAGAGACCACTGGGCACCAGTCCTGCGGGCAGACAGGCCCCCCGAGATAGGAACGGGCCGTCTAGGACGCACAGGGTTGGGAAGCAACTAGTGGGAGGTCTGCGTCGGAAGGACGAGGGAAGGTTCAGCCCCACGGGGGGGCTGTTACGCCGGAGTGGGCCGCAGATCAAGCCGCGTTAAGCGGGAGTTAGCCGGATGGATTGCGGACCATGGACAAATCAGAATTTGACCTCCCAACAAATGCATCCGAAACAGAGGGACCCAAAGGGAGACCGGGACAACTGTGGGCACAATCCGTGCACAAGCTGGATCATGCGAGCGCATGAAGCATTTTGTGTCCACCCTCTCCCCTCCTCCCTCTCCCCGTCCCCTGGCTTGGCGCGCTGGACGCGGTTCTGGCAACTCTTTAAGCGCGTTCTCTGCCCACGCGTCCTTCATGGATGCATGGCCTTCATATCGTGAGACGCACATGGCGCACATGAGCCGATGTTGAGATAGGCCTCCCACCAGACCGTGAGATCTCACGGACAGGACGGCAAGCCCCCCCTTGATGTTCAGGACCACAAATTCGCGCCGCCACATCGCCGATGCATCGGGGGGGGCATCGGCAGCCAGAGTTTTCCCGTGTTTCTAGGCGACTTATTTTCGGGAGCGGAACTCGGGGCTTGGGCGCGAGAAATCGCCTGCGACCCTGGGAACGAGTGCCCGTTGGTGCGCGGCGCTATTGGCGGCGCTGGGGGGGCAAACAGAACTAAAGCGCGCAAGCCGCTGCTGCCGCGGCTCACTCATCCGTCGGGGGACTCCAGCGTACCCGTATCAAAATCCCACGATATAAAATAGGCTGTAGGACTCACATGGCGCAAAATACGGAATGCTTCAGCGGTAGGGTATCGCATGCAATCTCCTCGTCCATTTTGGCACACCCTCACGGGACATTTCCCGCGCTGCTCGCAACTGCTGTGGGTTGCGTCAAACGCCGTGTTAGACTTCCCGAACCAGGTCCCTCCAGGTCCCGTGGCCACACAAGAAGCTCCACCGACGGCCCCTGTAGGCAAACAAACATCTAGCACACCCCATCACACGTTTCTTGGCCCCATAGGGGCTCAACGAACGCCCCCCCCGCCCAATTTCGGCACACCCCTCAGACGTATCGTGTCACACCAGAAGGTTCGCCTGCGACCCTGCTAGGCAAGGCCACATGCGGCCGCCCCCGCCCACTTCGGCACGCCCCTCACACGCTCCGTGGCCACACAGGGAGCTCCACCGAATGCCCGGGTGACTACGTCCACGTGCGGTCCCACCCCCACCCCCCGCCATCTCGGCACACCCCTCCCACACCTCGTGGCCCCAGAAGAAGGGGGCTCCACCAAAGGCCCACCTCGGCCCGGCACGCCCCTCGCTCGTCTCGTGGCCCCCGTGGGGAGCTCCACCGCGGGCCCCACGGGGTGCGTCCACGGGAAGCCCCCCCCGCCACTCTCGGCGCACCCCTCGCGCGGCTCCGTGGCCCCACAGGGGGCTTCACCTGCGGGTCCCCAGGGCGTGCGCCCACGCGCCGCGCCCCCCTCGGCGCGTGCCGTGCCCCACGGGGGAGCCCCGCCGAGAGGCCCCGAGTGGTGGAGCCCGCAGGGCGACCCCCGCCCACTTCGGCACGCCCCGGAGCGCGCTCCGCGCCCCACAGAGCAGGCAGCATGCCTCGGCCGCCTGCCTCACCTGCAGAAAAGGAAGAGATGGCCGCGTCCTGCGCGATGCGCGTCTGCGTGAGGTTGGGGGGTCCCTCTCCACGCCGGTCGCTGTTTCTGCCTGTACCCTTCATCGTGGAGCCCCTCCTTCCCCCCCTACACGGATTTAATCCGCGTCGCGACCCTCCTCCACCTGCCCCTTCATCCTGATCTCTATATGCCCCCCTGTCATCCCCAAAAGTACCTACGCGCAAAGCAACGCACCTGGTTATACGCTGCTCAGCTTGCGAAGCGCACCTCGTGCTGCGAGTGCTCACGCAAAGCGCTATCTCGAAGCCGTGTGCGTTCGTGCACGCGTGCGTCGTCGTGCCGTGGCCGACGTGCAGAAGCTGCCTTCCCCTCCCCACGCCTCCCGTCGCCGTCGTCGTCCGCGGTGCGTGCTGCTCTGCTCGTGCCACGCCTCCTTGTGCAGACACCCTCACCAGTATGTCGGGCCTTTTCCCCTACAGGGGGATTTTGGACGAACCTTTAAAAAATACGCCAAAAATGCTCAAAGGATGCCCCAAAATACCAAAAGCATAGTCCCCAGACTATTTTTCAACTATTTTTGAATGTTCCCCCTGTAGAGGGACAGGCCCGACTCAACCTCACCATCTCTCGGCTCTTTCTCCTCCTGCTCCTCCGCGTCCCTGTCCTACCCCGACGGCCACTGGAGATCCCATCATGCCCCATACATTGCCAACAGGGTGCAATGGCAACACCGCTTGCTGACAGGTGCGACCAGCTAGTCAGTCGGTCAGTCAGTCATGCCACCTCGCGAAACATATATCCGGTTACGCCCGAAACAAACGAACTTGGGCTACGCCGAAGAAAAGATACATGACCGCGGGCTTCCTACAATTCCAAAGGCGGTGTAATGCATCTCACGTCTCACTGCCGTTGTCAGGCGCATCGGCTCCTGTGGGTTCCTAACACTCCCCTACTGGGATGATGCTTTGGACGTCCACGGTCGCTCTCCGACACATCGCCAGGTGCCGACATACAGACTCTCGCCTGCATCCGGGAGAGATGGCATTGCTCCGCTAATAGATTTGCCGCGGGAGTCTGCTTAATGGGATAACCCTTTGCCTCACACGTTTCCTCATCCTCCACCTCTCGGATTAGCGGCACATGTTCCTCTCAAGCGACTACTCCTCGTTGAACTACCAGATGTGTAGATCCCGCCAACGCGTATACTAAGGATGCGCGAGAAGGATGCAAGGGCCTTGGAAGGCCACGCCGACACTGTTCGAGCAGGGCGCTGCCAGCGAAAGTGGCCAAGGATGGGCCGAAGGGGAAGGATACAAGGGTAACCTTGGTACATAACTCATCCTTACGACCAGCGTTTACAGTAGAGCGGGCAGAACGTTTCACCTGAGACTTCCCTACCGCGCATGACACTGCAGCTCGAACTGCTCCACAATGACACGGATGGGGGTTATGGTTTTCATAATGAATGTGGCCCTCGTCTCAACGCAGCTCACATTCGTCGCACAAGCGATCAACAGTGAAACAGACCGACAATGTGATTATTGTTCTTCTCTGAACACCGCGCACGCTCGTCTTAAACACTTCCAGGAATTACACGGATGGGGTCGAATCCTGTTCATGCTGGAACTCCCACTGTAGACTTCCTTGGCGATCATGAGTTGAGGCTGTGAAGCGTACAACACACAAGGGAGATTACACCTCCTCCTTCTCCTCCTCCTCCTCCACCTTCCTTCCCTCCTCTTGTACATTAGACCGACACTGGCTGGATGGCCGTTGCCACTGAACGCACGTACCAGAAACAAGGAAAACACATGCGTGACCACAGACACAAAGATTATGCACGCAGTGCGTGCACCACAAGAACAAAAAGGGCAGAGGAAGGCGGACAAGTGGAGAAGCCCACAGAGTTATAGAGGAGCGCACAAAGGCAAAGTTTCACAACACCCCCAACCTCAACACCTCACACTTCCTTCTTGGAGGGGCCCAGGGACACACAAATCAATAGACACAAATAAAAGGATTCCCCATATATTTCCCTATATTTTCTGGGCTTTCGTCTTCCCCCCACTTCCCATATTTACCTCTATTTTCCTGGGAGTCCACGACTAATTGTGTCTGTGTGTTTCTTTCCCTCCTGATCTTCTCCTCCTCCTCTTCCTCCCTCGCCCTCCCTCGCCCACGACCACGGCCTGGGCCTCCGCAGGGCGTTGACACGGCAGCCTCCGCGGCCTCCTTAGCAGATGCGATCCGGGGGCGTCGACCGACCCCGCGCAGGACCCGAGGCTGGGAGGCTTTCCTGTTGAGCAGGGACCGACCGTCCCGGCATTCCTATAGTACGAAATGTTCTTAGATTCCAAAAATGTTCTGAGAACAAAAACGATGTTCTTAAAACATTGACCCGATGTGATAAAACAAGACAGTCCAAGTCAGAAATGTTCTAAGAACATTTCGTGGAAATCACAAAAAAGGTTCTTGGAACATTGTTTGGTAGGGCTATAGGCGAGCCGGGACGCTTCGCCACTGCTTGATTCCTGAGAACGAGTAGCATGTACTGAGCCCGACCGCGGGGCCATTACGCCGCCGGATCAAGCCGGCTCAGACCTGGAATTCAGCAGCAGCAAGCTGGCTAAGACGGGATGCCGCCTGCGAAGGCTGGTTTTGAACCACGGAGTTGCATCCTAACACGCCCCAGCAGACCACGAGATCTCACGGACAGGACGGCAAGCCCCCCCTTGGTGTGCAGAATCACCTGGAGAGCGCGCAAATGGGGCAAGAGCAAGTGCAAAGGATCGCGCCGCATCAACGGTAAATCGGGGAGGCATCGCCGTCCCCAGTTCCCCCTGTTTTCTGGGTGACCTGGTTTTCTGGAGGGAAACTCGGCTCGGGACTTGAGCGCGAGAAGTTGCCTGCGAACCTAGGCCCTGTTGGTGCGGAGCGCTACTGGTGACGCGGGGGGGGGGGGGGGGACAAAACCATACTCAAGCGCGCAAAACGCTGCTATCGCGCCGCGCTCATCCGTCAGAGGGGGCCCAATGGTCCCGCACCAAAGGCCATTCCCGAGAAAGCTCACTTCTCCTAGATCTCCGACGTCGCGATTTTTCCAAGACGTGCCTCACAAATGACCACCAGAAGTCCGGACCCTTCCCCTGGGACCGGTCTTTCAGCCCGAGTCGCTTCCTGACGATCCCACGGAGTGGTGAGGGCGCACAGGGGGCCCGAGACAAGCCGAACTAGTCCGTCCTGACGTGTTTCACAGCGGGAAGAGCGGTGGCTCCCCAGCCGCGGGCACGGCCGCCGTTGTTGGAGAAGCCTGCCGAGACTGCTACACGCCAGTCGGAAGAAGTAGGTAAAAACATGCAGTAGCATTTCGATGCTTGAAGTCGGGAGGCGCTTAAAGTAGGCTTGGATCTGGGAGTCCACACATTCGGCGGTGGACGAGCCTCCCTTTAGTAAACCACCTTCATGAAAACGGCCCAAGACCGAAACCGACGGACCTGGACCCGCGCAAACGACGGCCGCGACACCCTCTCGCGCACCGGGACCGGCTAATTCGCTAATCGACGTGTCAGGGCAGGAGGTCGATCAAAACCTCCGACCAACACCTATACTTGGGAGTCCCAAAACGGTGCGGTGACAGACCGTGCGGTGACCTCGAACTCCCCCACGACCCCACCGCACGGTCCGTCACTGCACGGTCTTGGGACCTCGGAGGCCCCCGTCGCCCGAGACGTCCTCGGAGCACGACCCGAGTCCCAAAACCGTGCGGTGACCCCGAATCCCCACCGACTCACCGCACGGTGTGGTCACCACCCCGTTTGGGGGCCCCCGAACACACATATACTTCCAACGACCCGCGAGGAGGAGGAGGAGGAGGAGGAGGTGGAGGAGGAGGGGGAGGAGGAAGGGGAGGAGGAGGACGAGAAGGAGTTCGATCAAAACCTCCGACCAACACCTATGCCTCCAGCGACCCGCGCGCACGCCCCGGGGTACGCTCTGAGCCGAAAACTCGGCCCCTGCTCCCGCGAACCGCGGCGGCCCCTGGGCGGTGGGCACGGCCGCCGACGCTCGGGCGACCTCGCGATGCTTTGAATATATAGATGTTAATATATATATATATATATGTATATGTATATGTATATATATATATATACAAAAACGTGACCCCCAGGAGGTCTCGCCCCCGCCCCCAGGGAGGGGCAAGGATAGGGGGGGGGACCAGCACGAGGGGGGGGGGGGGCACCGCCCTGGGATCGGCGATGCGTCGCCGATGGGTCGGCGAGGGGCCCCCGAGGGTGAGTCCGCACCTTCCTGGGCAGGCGGGGGCTGTCGGGCCCCTGTCGGCGATCGAAGGCGATTGGGGGTCGATGCGTCCCCTCCCGTGTGCCCGTCTCTCCCCCCCCCCCTTATCGTTTGCCCCCGACCCCAGGGCCAGAGGCCTCGCCCCACCCCCCAGGACCGGCTAGGAAGGAGGAGGAGGAGGAGGGAGGAGGAGGAGGAGGAGGAGGAGGAGGAGGAGGAAGAAGAGGAGGAGGAGGGAGAAGGAGGAGGAGGAGGCCTCGCCCCACCCCCCAGGGCTGGATTTTCTCCCGTCCCGCGTCGCTCTGTTGGACGGCCGCGGCCGTGGCCCGGCGAGGGCCCCCGGAGGCCGACGGCGGCTAGGGAGAAGGAGGGAGGGAGGAGGGAGGGAGGGAGGAGGAGGGAGGGAGGAGGGAGGGGGAGGAGGGAGGGAGGAGGAGGGAGGAGGGAGGAGGAGGGAGGGGGAGGGAGGAGGAGGAGGGAGGAGGGAGGAGGGAGGGGGAGGAGGGAGGAGGAGGAGGAGGAGGAGGAGGAGGAGGAGGAGGAGGAGGAGGAGGAGGAGGAGGAGGAGGAGGGGAGGAGGAGGAGGAGGAGGAGGACACAGGTCGCCGAGTTTCGCCCCACGGCGCTACGGCTTCTCGACGACGACCGCCGACGGTCCTGGCCCAGCACAGGCAGCACGTGTGCCATCGCTCGTCCGTCCGCTCCCCGTGCAGTTTCGGGCTCCGCGCGCGCATTCTTCGCAAGACGATCCAACATTAGGGGAACAAACAAAACCATAAGCACGACAACTCGGAGGTCCGCGCAGATTTCCCGGATCGGCGTTGGGGCCCCCCAGCGGCGCCTCCGGCGCCGCCCCTGGAGCGCTCCGCGCGCCAGGGAGGGGGGCTTTCCGAACGCGCTGGCGCCCGCCCTCGCTGCCGGCCTACATGCTGTTTGTCACTACGCTAGAGGCTATGGGTCCCCACGTGGGCACCAGCGGTCTGGACCCACTTCCCGACGTCGAGATTGTTTCATGACGTGGGCACCAGTGGGTCCCAACGTCGGCACGAGTGGTCCCCACCTCGAGATTGTCTCATGACGCGGGCCCACGCGGCCTGGACTCGTTCCCCCGGATGATAAACTTGTCATCCCAAGTCGTTGCTTCGGCCCCGCGGCACGAGAACAGCCCCCAAAGCCGTATATGTATATATATATATATATATGTATATATGTATACATTTATGTGCGTATATATATATATGAATAGGTGTGCATATTTATATATTTTTATATATACATATATATATATGTATATATACATATATGTATAGATGCGTATGGTCACTGGGTTTGTATGTGTATTTGTATATGAAAATTGTACAGGTGCATCTATATATATGTATATATTTATATATGTATAGGTGCGTATATGTTTAAGCGGGGCCAGGTACGGCCCCCAGGGACCGTGCCCATGTGTGCATATATCTATATATATATATATGTACAAACAAAAACTCCCTTCACGACTTCTGCCACGGCGCGAGGGGGTTTGGGTATTACGCCACGCCCAGGCGACGCCCCTCGCCGGATCACGTCGGCTCCCCCGAACCGCGGGGTACTGGCCGCCGTGGCTGGACTGAGGCCGCGGCTCGCGCCTGCGACTGCTGTCTCGCGGAAGTGGGCCGCGGCTGCTGCCACCAGATCGCCTCGTCGGGCGGGGCGCTTCTGGAGGAGGCGGGGAGGAGGACCACCAGAAGGAGGCGGACGAGACGGAGGACGAGGAGGAGGAGGACGACGACCCTGTGCTGTGGGCGCTGCGCATCCGTCATGCCGGGCGTCGGCGCCTGGTCTTTCGGGCCCCAGGACCACCACAAGTCGGTCCCGCCCGTACAACGCAGCAGGAAGATGGTCTCTGGAGCTCCAGTCGTGATGTCTCTAGAAGCTGAACAAGAACGCTACATACAGAAACTTTTGGCGCTCCGCGCGGATTTCTTGGATCTGCAGGGGCCCAGCGCGGATCCGCGAAACCCACGCGGAGCGCCAGAAACTTACGTGTCTGGCGTGTTGTCGTCTTCGAGTCTCGCCGGGCCGCATGCTTTGGTAGCGCGGCGAGGCGCGTTCGGCTCTGCGCCCCCGCGCCCCTGGAGGCCGGCAGAAGTTCGAAGGCGGGCGACGGGCACGCGACTGCGCGGGGGGAGAGGCGGCGGCCCGACGAAGAGGAGGAGCACCCGAGGAGGGCGGCGAGGAGGGCGGCGAGGAGGGCCAGGCCTGCCCCTGCGGGCGGGACCCGCCTCGCCCTTCAGCCTCTCCCGCCCCTGTTCCCTCCCAGATCCTCCCCCTCCTCCCCTCATGGCTACCTCATCTCGTTTCTCGTCTTCCTCCTCCTCCTCCTCCTCCGCCTCCTTCTCCCCGTAGCCATTTTGGCTCAAGATGACGACCTGGGGGGCTGTCCAGCCTCCGGGCCGAAGGGAGACCTCTGGACCGAGGACAGTTCCCAGACGGGCGTCGGGCGCGCGCGCGGCACCGCTGCAGCCATGGGGAATGGCGGCGGCGGACGCGGGGCGGGCAGCGCCTGGTCGGGGACCCCGAATCGCCAGAGGGTTCCCCCGTGGAAGAGGAGCAGCAGTGGCAGTCGCCCTCCTCGCAGCAGCTACGTGGTGTGTGACGGGTGCAGCAGATGGCGCTACTGCAAGAATATCACCAGCAGGGGCGACCTCTGCATCTGCGGCAAGAATCTCGCCTGCCTCGTCCCCGACGGACATGTCTTCCGTGACGAAGATGGTGGGTGGCAGGCAGCACGGCCCCAAGGAGGAACCTCGCCCAGGATCAGCTGGGCAGATGGTTGGCAGCCAGGTGGTGGTGCAGGCGGGAAAGGACAAGGAGGCCAACGCCAGCCACCACCTCACGACAAGACTGTCGACCTCAAGGCTGCCGCCGCAGCAGCTTACAGCAAGCTCAGCAAGGACGACCCGCTCAGGCAGCACTACGAGGCCCTCTGGCCAGAGCTCGCCGCAGCCAAGCCACCAGCAGACCAACCAGTCGTTGGATTCAAGGCAGTGGAGGCAGCTGCTCGACGCTTGGACAAACTCCAGAAGAAAGTACAATCGGCAGGGGAGCAAGTTGAGAGTGCCCAGCAGTACTTGGCTGAGAGTGAACGCAAGCTTCGTGAAGCCATGGGAGCCTCCATTGCAGCCGAAGATGAGTTCGACAAGCTCAAGGCCACAGTCGGCAAGCAAGAGGCACCGGCTGAATCTGCAGCCGAGAAGCCAACTCTGGCAGCCCTCCTGGAGCAGTTCGAGCATGAGCCGGACGACTTCCACAAGTGGTCCGAGCCCGACAAGGAGGTCTGGCGAGCAGCAAAGGCCAAGGGCGAGCGCATGGCCCAGACGGTCAAGGAGCACGAAGAGGAGACGGCGAAGCACCTGCGACTACTGGAGGAAGAGACGGCCAGGCACCAGGAGCAGCTGCGCCATCTCGAGCAGGCCCGCACCAAGCGCCTGTCAAAGAGCGGAGAGCAAGACCCAGAAGCAGCAGAAGCCCCACCAGGCAAGCGTGTCTGCGCCGCCAGCCCAGCCCCTCAGCGAGGTGCCACCACATGCACTGAGGCAGCAGGGACAGCCGCCGCGGCTGCGCCCACCGGCGCCGCAGCAGCTGCCCAACCAGAAGCAGGCGCAGCAAAACATGACAAAGCAGAAGAACGCCGAGCCAGAGTGGAGGCCCACATCCAGGAGGCGCGAGAGAAGGTCTCGCAGGCTAGGCGCGCCGAGACAGTCGTCGACGCAGAAGGGCAAGGTGACCACTCAGCAGGGTAGCCGCCCCAAGGCGAGCGTGAAGAAGGCTCGCCGCCCGTGCCACATCGACTTCTTCAACGTCACGACCTGGGGCCCCCAGGCACAGGGCTACCTCATGGAGATCAACAATACCAAGGACAGGGGCATCATTGGCATCGCGGAGCACCACCTCCGCCAGCCTGCGCAGATAAGCAAGGCAAGAGCGGCGCCCAGGAGGAATGGCATGCACAGCTACTGGACCAAGGCACGGCCAGGAGAAGGAGAAGGCACTCGAGGAGGCACGTGTGCCATCACGCGAGGACCCTTGGACATCCAGGACAGGATCGCTGGTTTCGATGAGCACTACCTGCACGAGGACGGCAGTGACGCCACGGTGGTGATCTCCAACCTGCACAAGGTCAGTTTCGCAGTGGCTTTCGTCCACCTTGAGTGTGGGACGGGCTTTGGAGAGAGGAACGTCGACATCCCCTGCGACCTGCGGGAGAAGATGGCCGTCTGGGGAGGGCAATGGGCAGCGCTTGGGGACTTCAACATGACGCCGTCGGAGTTCAACAACAGCATTTGGCCCAGGGTGCTGAATGCTCAAGTAGCTGCGGCGGAGGACGGCGCCCCCACATGTTTCCCAGCAGTAGGAGAAGCCAGGTGCATCGACTTCGCGCTGATATCGCAGGGCCTGGCGCCGCATTTCGACCAGCTGGAGCTGCTCAGGACCGTGCCGTGGAAGCCGCACATCGGCATCCGCTTGAAGTTGAAGGGGCGGCCTCTCATGCTCAAGGGAAGGGTACTTCGCAGGCCAGCAGCCATAAAGCCGCCAGTCACAGTCGAGAGAATGCCGAAGTCCAGAGCCGCTTGCAGACGAGCGGCGCGCGGAGGCCAGGAGGCAATGCGCCGACGTCAGCAAGCGTTGGCAGAGGCAGGATGCGACCTGGACGAGAACGACATGGAGCCAGTGCCGCAGCTGCACTACGACAAGAATGTCCAGCACGTCATCCCTGCCGAGCTGTGGCAGGCCACCTCCGAGCGGGTCAGCGCGCGCGCCTGCGACGAGTTGCCCCAGCACTTGCAGCGCACAGTCGTCGGCAAGATGATGGAGCGGGACATGCTGGACCTGGGGCAACAGCACGACCGCTTCGCAAGCACCCTCGAGCTCAGCCTGTGCGAGAGCATCGGCATCCCAGAGGAAGAGCGTGGACGACATCTCGGGCGCAGCAGGCCCCCGAGCTACAAGAGCGCGAGCATCAAGGACACCGTCACCTCTACGCCATGGGCAGGGGTCGAATGGAAGATCCACGCGTGGTGGGCGGAGATCCCCTCCTTGGCGCGGCAGCTCTCGCACCATGATGCCCGAGCGCAGGAGACAGCAGCAAGTCGACAGGGCAAGACCCAGGCACTTCCCGATGAGGACTCAGGAGGTGGACAGGGCCCGTCGGCGTCGGAGCTTGGCCCCGTCATGTCTGGCAGCCAAGTAGGCCACGAAGACGGGGTTCCCGCACCAGCCAAGAGCCCATCGAAGAGCCCGGGAGGAAGCTCGGGGGATCGCGCCCCCACCGAGCGGGGTGAGGGCCCCCCCGAGCTGCAGCAGCGGCGTGCAGGCAGTGGAGGCGCAGCAGGAGGCGGCGGCAGTAGCACCAAGGACATCGCGAATCAGCCAGCACTTGAGGAGGTCCCCCCTCCTCAGGCAGAGGTCCAGGAGCTCGCAGAGGGGCCAGCACAAGAGAGCCCAGAGCGACCCTGCCTCAGCCCAGCATCGCCGCCAAAGGACGCGTCCTGAACCTCCGAGACGGGTGCAGCTTTCCAAGAGATGAGGGCGAGGCGGCCTGGTCCAGAGAAAGAGGTAGGCCCCTCCTCACTCTCCTTGGGGTACCCATTCCCCACGCAGGCGAGCGCAGCGGACCATGGGAAGGCAGCTGGCCCCTGCTCTGAGATGGGTCAGGGGTTCCCGTCCCCCGAGTGCGCCGCCACGGGACGCGTCCCAGACCTCGACGTGGGACCAACCCACAGCAGCGCAGACAGCTGCACAGAAGGGATGCAGAGGGGTGCCCTTCCCCCACCAGCAGGACGCAACACCATGGACATCCGAGATCACGACCCCTTCGAGGATGAGGAGGACTACTTGGAGTACCGCCAGGAGATCGCAGACCAGGAGAACAGCGATGGGTACCACCAGCACATCGAGGGGCAGCCGGACAGCCTCGAGTTCGGCCAGACCGTTCGCCGTCGTGCAGCTGGATCTGCTTTTCCCCCACCAGCAGGACGCAGCACCATGGACGTCCAAGACCACGACCCCCTCGAGGAGGAGGAGGTTTGCTTGCAGTACCGCCAGGAGACCGCAGATCAGGAGGACTGCGACGGGCACCACCAGCTCATCGAGGGGCAGCAGGACAGCATCGACTACGGCCAGACCGTTCGTCGTCATGCGGCAGGATCTGGTAACACTGCCCCAGGTGACACGCACTGCTCACCTCCTCAGCCAGCTGGCACTCTGGAGGCAGAGGGTACCGATCACCTGGGGAGTCAGAACCAAGCGCCGCCAGGCCCAGAGGCAGAGGAGCAACGAGATATGGGCCTGCCCCCACCAGACCTCTGGAATGATGACCAGCACCAGCGGGAGCGGGAAGACTACGTGGCCATGAGAGACGACCTGGAGTACTGGGCGGCCATCTGGATGGATAACTTGGTGCAGCTCCCCACGGACAACAGCAACTGGATGCAGATCTGCGTGCCGTTCCTGGAGACCATCTTGGGTGGCGGAGGCAACAATGGCATGGTGAGACTGCTCAGGCGTAGGTACCAGCAGGCCGGCCTCAGCCACATCATCAGGGACCTCTGCGAGCGAGCATGGAGACATGCAGAACCACGACGCCGAGGCTTTCTCCAAGGTCTTACGCGAGAGGAGCCGACGAGGAGGCACGAATTGGAAATGATGCATTGGAGGGAGCTTGCTAACCTGCGGAGGTTTATGCGAGAAGTTATAGGCGAACGAGCACCAGAAGGAGCAGCGCGAAGACAACTACATGATGCTCCAGGAACAGGCAGTGGCCCGAGTAGCCGCCGAGAGCTGCAGGTCCGCACCCACAGCGGCCACCAGACGCAGCAGCATATCAACACAAGACGGCAGCTCGCGCAGCAGCTCAACCAGCCTGACCCAGGCAGGCTGAACGAAGAAGGTGCAGCCAAGGACCAGCAGCAGGCCCTCCTCACATACCTGCACGCGATAGCAGAGGGCGCCCTCGTGGACCCAGGGACGACCAGCAGGGTAGCAGAGGAGGTAAAGAGCATGGCCAAGCTACTCACAAAGGCGGTGAAGAAGGCGTACATCTACTGGGTGCACGACGCCACGGCAGGCAGTGCGAAGATGGCCCACGCCTACACCAAGGCAGCGGAGCGCAGCCACCTGGAGGACATCCTTGAGCACGAGGGCCAAGTCATCAACCACCCGCAGCAGCTGGTGGACTTGCGCAAAGAGGCATGGCAACGCAGGTGGACACGAGATGCACAGAAGTCCGAGAGGATCCAAGAGGCGCTGGCCAAGCTGAGGCAGGCTGCCTTGGCCCAAGAGAATGCCCTTGAGCCCATCAGCAAGGACATCATCGGATCCATCATCCAGCACCTGAAGCGCAATGCTGGCCAAGGAGCGGACTGGTGGAGGGCTCCAGAGCTCAAGGCCATGGGCGCCCAGGGGCTGGAAGACTTCGTGCAGTGCCTGACCAGCTGTGAGCAACGGCCAGCGTGGCCGCGGCAATTCTACTTGGTGCTGGAGCTGCTGCTGGGCAAGAAAAGCCAGGAATCGGCGGTGAGCGCCCCATCGGCCTCATGCCCATGCCGTGCCGCATCTGGAGCGCAGCCAGGAGGCCCATAGTAGCCACCTGGAGCAAGGCAGCGGCGGGCTTCTGGGATACGGCAGTAGCTGGCTCCTCAGCGCTACGAGTGGCAATGCACAGACTGATGAGGGCAGAAGCCGCCACGGAGATGGGCTTTCATGCAGCAGGAGTGTTCTACGACGCGGCAAACTTCTACGACAACATAGGCCTCGACCAGCTGATCGAGAAAGCCAGCGCCCTCCAGTGCCCGTTGCTGCCGCTGGCAATGGCCGTGCAGATGCACCTTGCGCCCAGGGCCATCATGGCCCACAGCCTCTTCTCGGACATCTTCGAGCCTGCCAACAGCATGGTAGCTGGCTGTGGCCAAGCGGTCGACCTCACCAGACCGCTCTTGTATGGCATCCTGGATGCAGCGCACAGGCACCACATCTTCGTCGTCATGCAGCAGTACCTGGACGACTTGGCCCTGCAGGTAGAGGGTGCGCGGCGGCAGGTCACTCACCATATCAAGCACGTGGCAACGCTGGTGCACGATGGATTCAAGCAGCTCTCGATACCCATCTCCGTCAAGACGGCAGTGGTGGCCTCGGACAAGGACCTCCAGGCAGAAGTCGCCAGCATCCTGGACAGCCTGGGCACCCCCAACAAGCAACCAGGTGTAGTGCGCGACCTCGGCGTGGACACCAGCCTCGGCAAGCAGCTGCGGCGACCCACCCATGCCGCGCGCCAGGCCAAGGCCAAGCAGAGGGTGGCCAAGCTCAAGGGCCTAGCGAAGACGGACGCCAGGGGCGCGGCAAAGGTCTATTCAGCAGGTGCCTACTGCCAGCAGGCCTGGGACTTACCAGCGCACGGCATCACGCCCACGGAGGCGAAGTCGGTCAGGGCTACGGAGGCAGCTCTCCTCACAGGCGGACACAAGGCTGGACGCTGCACGTCCACCATCCTCCTGATCCAGAGGGGAATGCAAGAGACAGTAACCCGAGCCATCGGCGACCAGATCGAGCAGTTCTGGCTCACCATAGTCGACCACCCGACGGAGCTCAAGAGGTGCCAGAGAAGCTGGCTCCTGCTCTACGCCAAGCTGGGCGCCCTGGAACCCAACCGCAGGTGGCAGCAGGTCAAGGGGCCTATGGCAGGGGTCATCGCGCAGCTGCTTGGGTTAGGCTGGATACCGCGACGCCTGTACAGCTGGATCAGCCCAGCAGGTGACGAGTGGGCCTACAAGCCAGATGACATTCCTCACTTCGGCGCGCTCCTGCATGAAGTCCAGCAGAGCGCGCAGCAGCAGCTCTGGCAGCAGGCAGCTGGCCACCGCAGTGGAGAAGGACTTCAGGCTGGAGGCGACCTCTATCAGCTGCAGCGCCACCTGAGGAGGAGGAGGCGCAAAGGACAGCATGCAGAGACAGCCATGCTGGAGACCATAGCGGTGGCGGGCATCTGGACCAGGGAGCGTCGCAGGGCGGCCAACCTCGACCAAGAAGGCGACGACACCTGCGCGAGATGCGGCGAGGCGATAGAAACAGAGGAACACCGCTACTACGCATGCCCTGCCAACGCAGAGATAGGGCACGGCAATGACACCGACCTGGCGAAGAAGGCGAAGGACGCGCTGGACCAGCGGCAAGACCTGCACTTCTGGCTCCGAGGCGTCCCGCCAGCGGCCTGGGCAGCCAAGGTCGACCCAGACGAGGACGCGGCGAAGGCGGCGCAGATCTTATGCACCAGCGAAGAGGCTCAGGCGGCAGCCCAGTCAGGGTACAAGGTTCGAGCAGACTATGTCTTCACGGACGGCTCAGGTGGTGCAGGGGAAACGGCCAAGGACCCCCGCCTCAGACGCTGCGGCTGGGCAGTGGTGGCTTTCAGGTTCGACGAACAAGGACGTCCGCAGGAAGTGGCCGCCTGGTACGGCACGATCAGGGAACCGCACACGGTGCCACGGGCAGAGCTCACCGCCATGAGCAGAGCCATCGGGTACACCACGGCGGCGACAGCCAGGGGGCTCAACATAGCCAGCGATTGCAAGTACGCCCTGGACGCACTCAAGCAGATCAAGGATGATGAGGATCTGGACTACAGGAGCACGAACTACGACCTCTGTCTCCAGACGAAGCAGCAGCTGCAGAACAGCACGGACACCATCATGGGCCACCACATCCCCAGCCACCTGATTGAGCACCCAGCCGAGCTGGAGAGGTGGAATGGTCCCACCTGGTGGGTCATAGGAAACGAGATGGCAGACAAGTACGCAGGCTGGGGGGCGGAACATGGAGCACTGGATCCAGCCATCATCGCGCAGCAGCAGATCAGGGACCATATCGCCACGGCGGTGCAAAACCGGCTGCTGGCCATCAACATGGCGGTGACGGTGGAGGACCCCAACAAGGCCCCTCAGCGCCCCAAGGCCAAGCGCCGCAAGCCGCAGCGCTGGGACACGACTTGCGCAAGCTACATCCGCGATGGTGGTGTGCAACGTGTCGCAGTGGCCCAGCCAAAGGACAAAGCATCAGAGACTGGCTGGCAGAGACGGGAGAATGCCTCGGGAAGTACGGCGGCCACCAGGACCAGCACGGCAACGTCAGGCTTGACTTCAAGGCGGTGCAGATCGGCACGCAGGTGGTGCACGTCTCCCACAAGACGCAGTTCACCCATGGCTGGCTCTGGTGCGAGAAATGTGGCGGCACCAGCTACCTTGGGGACCACGAGAGCAGGATCGTGGCAGGCTTGGCAAGGAAGCTGGCAAGGCCATGTCAGCCCCCAACAGCAGCAGGGCGGCGGGTCTTGGCGGACATGCAGAGGGGCAAGCTGCCAAGAGGAGCTAAGCTAGCAGCAGACCCAGCTGATGAGGGTCTCAACGAGATCACCATGCCTGGAGATTTCAAGCTCGGCCTGAGTAACCACGAGGCGATCGACCTGGACGGGGGCAGCTCAGAGGCAGGGGGCCCGCAGCCAGCTCCACAGCAGCCACCCAGCCATCCGCGCTCTGTCGTCCACGCCAGCTGGAGGCTCGTGGACCACATGGAAGGCTACGCGGAGCAGTGGATGAACATGGTCGACCAATAGGTCTGGGACGACATGGACGACTGGATGGAGCACTGCGCACCGTACCTCCTGGCCATCACCAATGCGGGTGGCGGAACGGACACGCAAGAGCAGACCAGAGCCGTCGCCGCGCAGGAGCTTCAGCAGATCAAGGACTTCTGCGAAGAAGTCTGGCGCAACACACACCGCGCGCGACGGGGGCTCATGACCAGGATGCTTACCCTCCCGTACGGTACAAGGCAGCAGGCAGCAAGAGTGCACATGGACGCCTTCCAGAACAGAAGGAACAACATCCTAGCGCACAGCATCCCCAGCAGCGAGCGCAGGCCGCTTCCGAGAACAGCGGAGGCCAGCCGAGAGTGGTCACCGGAGAACCTGGACGATGATGACTCGACCCCAGACAGTGAAGCCCCAGAGCTGGAGGGTGAGCCGAGCAACCAGGAGATGGAGACCATGGCAGGACCTGATCAGAGGCACGACGCCAACAGCCTGATGCAGACGGCTGTGCAGGTGACAGTAACGCTGACCAAGCCAGTGGGGCCCGACCTGATGAAGTTCGTGAGCGTAGCCGATGAGGCCGGCCTGCTCCACCCAAGGCTTCGACACAACAAAGGAGAGGCTGACCAGGACCCCGAGCAGGAGGTGGCGTGGCTCGAGAGGAACAGGCTCGAGCAGCTCATGCAGTCGCTGGCAGGCTGCTGGGGCCAGAAAGAGGGCGAACAGGGCTGGCCATCGTGGCAGGCTGCGTGCGTGCCCCATGTGCCGAGGGCGCTGCAGACTGGCGTCTACCAGAGGCTGTTCAGCAACGTGTCAGGGCCGAGCCGCCAGCGCAGCCAGCGCCGAGCGGCGGAGGAGATCTGCCGCCTGGCATGGCTCAACAGCGGAGAGGCGCGCTGGCAGATACAGCAGCAGGACCCGAAGGAGACAGAGCGGCGCAGAGCAATGGCTGAGCAGTTCCTGGGCGTGACTGAGCCAGTGGTGAGGAGCCGCAGCCCGCGACCGCAAGCAGCAGTGCGAGTGCCAAGCAGGGCTCCAGCCAGACAGCCGAGGAGGAACCCAGAGGCCAGGGCCCCCAGCAGCCCCGCCGAGCTGCGCACGGCAACGCCAGCGCCCGAGCTCGAGAGGCCCAGGGAACCCAGGGTACCGCAGCCAGAGCGGTCCCTGGAGGCGGGAAGGGCGGAGGAGCAGCAGAAACCCTCCAGCAGGCCCCTGTGCGGAGAAGGGACAGGCCACCATGGGCCCCTGCGCGGCGAGGGGGTAGGCCGCAGAGGACCCCAGCGTGGCGAGGGGTTCGGCCACAGCCCTGCGCCAGACGGGATGCAGAGGGGTGCCCGTCCCCCACCAGCAGGACGGAGCACCATGGACATGGCAGACCTCGACCACTTCCTTGAAGAGGAGAACAGCGAGGATTGCCTCCAGCAGCCCGTAGACAAGCAGGACAGCGATGACAACCACCAGCATATCCCAGATGTACAGCACAGCATAGTGTACCACCTGGCAGACCGCAGAGGACCCCAGCGTGGCGAGGGGTTAGGCCACGGAGGACCCCAGCGCGGTGAGGGGTTAGACCGCAGTGCCAAAGGCAAGCAGAGGCTCGAGGCGGAGGTCCCTGACGAGCCCAGTGAGCATGACGCGGACGTTTTGACCAACAATGTGGTAGACAGGACCTCGCAACTAACAGAGCGGACCCATACCCTGGGAAACCGACAGACTGAACGCGAGGGGGAGGGCTTGGCCCGCGGATACCACGTGAACCGCGAACACAGCGAGTGGCACAGTCGGACGACCTCGCCCGAGCTAGTGGGCAGTAGCCCCGAGGATGGGGACAGTGCGAGACTCGGCGTTCCCCTGCGTGGCGAGGGGCTAGGCCACCAAACTGCGCAGCCCGAGACGACGGCAGACTACGACGACACAGGCCTGCAGCGGGACTTGGAGAAGTTCTTCGGCGACTTTCCCCAACGCGGTGAGGGGTTAGACCGCATGGAACCCCTGCGTGGCGAGGGGTTAGGCCACGACAATCCCCTGCGCGGTGGGGGGTTAGACCGCAGTGCCAAAGGCACGCAGAGGCTCGAGGCGGAGGTCCCTGACGAGCCCAGTGAGCATGACGCGGACCTTTTGACCAACAGTGTGGTAGACAGGACCTCGCAACTAACAGAGCGGACCCATACCCTGGGAAACCGACAGACTGAACGCGAGGGGGAGGGCTCGGCCCGCGGATGCCACGCGAACCGCGAACACAGCGAGTGGCATAGTCGGGGGACCTCGCCCGAGCCAGTGGGCAGCAGCACCGAGGACGGGGACAGTGCGAGACTCGGCGTACCCCCGCGCGGTAAGGGGTTAGACCGCAGCAGGCCCCAGCGTGGCGAGGGGTTAGGCCACGCACGGAGTACCCCAGCGCGGTGAGGGGTTAGACCGCAACGATCCCCAGCGCGGCGAGGGGTTAGGCCACGGCGGACCCCATAGTGGTGAGGGGATAGACCGCAGCAGGCCCCTGCGCGGCGAGGGGTTAGGCCACATGGGACCCCAGCGCGGTGAGGGGCTAGACCGCAATAGGCCCATGCGTGGCGAGGGGTTAGGCCACGGAGCACCCCAGCGCGGTGAGGGGCTAGACCGCAGCAGCCCCCAGCGTGGTGAGGGGTTAGGCCACGACTTTCCCCAGCGCGGTGAGGGGTTAGACCGCACCGACCCCCAGTGTGGCGAGGGGTCAGGCCACGACGGACCCCAGCGCGGTGAGGGGTTAGACCGCAACAGACCCCTGCGCGGCGAGGGGTTAGGCCACCACGGAGCACCCCAGCGCGGTGAGGGGCCAGACCGCAGCAGGCCCCAGCGTGGCGAGGGGTTAGGCCACGGAGGACCCCTGCGCGGCGAGGGGCTAGGCCGCAATGCACCCCAGCGTGGCGAGGGGTTAGGCCACAGCACTGCGCCAGGCAAGGCGGCCGTGAAGGCCCACGAGTCCAGGGACCAGCGGCCAGGGCGGTCCCTGGAAGAGCGCAGAGCGGAGGAGCGGCTGCGGCCGTCCATCAGGCTGCTCCTCAAGCTCTGAGAGGGCGGCGGCAGCATGTCTTCAGACTGCCGCCGCTCACGGGGCGACTCCATGAGTCTTTGAGTGGCGGCAGTACGACGCCGTGAGATGAGGCCGCTGGCCCACCCCGCCTCGGGCCGTTCTGCCTGCGCGGGGTGCCGAGACCAGGGGCACCCACTCACGGGCGGGAGCACGCGGGTTTAAAACTCCGCCTCCTTCTCCTCCTCTTCCTCCTCCTGCTCCTCCTCCTCCTCCTCCGCCTCCTCCTCCTCCTCCTCCCACTCCCCCCCTTCTCCCCCCTGCCGCCCACTCATCCTCCTCCTCCTCCTCCCTCATCGCTCTCTGACTCCATCGGTCCACCCTCTCCTGAACCTTGATCATTGCTTCACTCTGCCTCCCCTCCGCAGGCGCATATCCATCAATCGTGGCGTCTTTCCAAGGTATCTTCCTGCACTCAATGGTTACCCCTCTTCCAGCCTGTCCCCAACCGACCTCAGGTTCCTGCTGCGACACCTCCGAAGTGCGGTGGCCAGAAGTACGAAGGGCGCTTACCAATTCCAGACGCGATTGTGAACGCTAGTGGCACATAAAGGATGCAAGAGAAGCACCTGATCGCTCAACGGAATCAGCTATCATATATTTCATGGGGCATTTCTCTCTTATTTCGGTGGCTCAGCCAACGGGGACACAGCATGTGACTAGCGCTGCACATGTGCCAACCTTTCGGATAAACCTCAAGCCTCCTTCACAGCGTCGAAGGTGTCCATGACGGACTCCCGCTTCCAATTTATGACCTGGAAGCACCCGCGTGGATAGGCATGAAGTCAAACGCACGGCACGCCTTTGCTTGGTCCACATGACTTCGGTTTTCTGGCTGAAGTAGCGTGACTAACTGCGGGGATTTGCAACGTAAGCCGCAGACGCACTATACCTCTCGACGAAAAATGGTTCGTGTTGGGCCACGCCGTGGTGCCCACCGAACCGACTGGAGGATCACAGGTCACCGTACCCAACATGATCGAATTCAACACTGCCACGCAAACGTCGCAATGCATGTTGGATGGCAATTGATACCTAAACGACGTGTTTGTTGCATGTCAAACACGATGACGGCTCATCGATGCATGGCACTACAATGAAAGTTCAAATACATCGCAAGCATAGAAGAAGGATGCGGCATGCGAAAAGGACACTCGTCCAGCATACGTCGCCATGTCGCTTGGTCGCAAGCAGCCCGCGCACACAACATGCAGCAGCGCGGGATATCCACACCATGAAATATCAAACGAAACATAATTATTCACTGCGTGAAGCTCCCCATATATGCCGCTATTCGCATGGACCTGTCCGCCGTGAGTGTCTAGGCGCAAGAGTTTTCGAATATAGGCGGGCTTGAGTTGTGGCGGTCTGGTCATGAATCTAACTGCGAATGAATTGGAGTGTGAATGAGCCTCAGTAGTACGAGCGCGTCTCTGCGCATGAGCCTGGGGCTTCCTGGGGCCTCCAGGAGCCCCTTGGGGCCTCCTGGGGCCTCCTGGGACCTCCCAAGGAGGATTCGTGTCCCAGGAGAGGCCCAATCTATAGGAATACACGTACATAACACATTTGCGGATTGGAACCGCAAGAGAATGGCAATATATAGGAACACACGTAAAGCACCAAGGACTCGTGCCCCAGGAGAGGCCCAACATATAGAAATATATGAGCATACGTAAAACATTTAGGATTGTGCACACAGGAGAAGGACAATATATAAAAACAAACGTATAACATCAAATATGCGTGCTCCAAGTGCGGTTTAATCTACCGGAGCATCCATAAAACGCATGGGATCGGAGCCACTCACGTTGCCTTCTGAGGCCTACTGCTCCTGGGGCCTCTCGGGACCTCCTGTTGCCTTCCGAGGCCTCCATGGCGCTTCCTGTGGCCTCCTGGGGCTTCCTGTGGCTTCCTGAGGCCCCCTGGAGCTTCCTGGAGCCTGCTGGAGCCTCTTGGGACATCCTGTGGACTCTTGAGTCCTTATGTGGCCTCCTGATGTCTCCTGGGACCTCATGTGGCCTCCTGGGGCATGTTGGAGCGCCCTGCGGCATCCTAAGGGGAATCTGCGCCCACGAGCCTGGCCACCCAAACAAGCAAACCGATCGAGACATCCTCAAAATCTGGCCCACCTGGGGGGTGAAAATGAGCGCCTCGCTCGAGACATCCTCCAAACCTGCTCTCCAAGCGAAAGGTGCTGGGACAGAAAAGAAGCACACCGCTTCAGACATCCCCACAAAACGGCCGCGAACGGGACCGTGCAGTACCCCTCGGCGACTCCCCTTAGGGGTGCTGAAACAAGCGCCCCGCCGGAAACATCCTAATGTTCTGCTCTCCAAGCGAAGGATTTGGTGACAAAAACAAGCAAACCACCTGAGACAACCCCAGAAAACTGCCACGAACGGGACCATACAATACCATTCGGCGGCCCCCCTGAGGGGTGCTGAAACCAGCGCCCCGCCCTCCCCAAGCGAAGAATGCTGGGACAAAAAACAGGCAAACCGCCTGAGACGTCCCCACAAAACGGCCGCGAACGGCACCGTGCAACACCCCTCGGCGGCTCCCCTGATGGTTGCTGATACCAGCGCCCCGCCTGAGACATCCTCACAATCTGGTCACCAAGCGAAAAATGCGGGGACAGAAAAAGAAGCAAACCGCTTGAGACATCCCCACAAAACGACCGCGAACGGGACCGCGCAACACCCCTTCGGCGGCTCTCCTTTGGGGTGCTGAAACCAGCGCCCCGCCTGAGACATCTTCACAATCTGCTGTGTTGAGTAAGTCAGACAACGAGAAGGTCTGAGTTTGAGTAAGTCTGGGTACGAGTGAGTCCCAGCATGGGTAAGTCTGAGTATGAGTAGGTCTGGGTATGAGTAGATCTGAGCATGAGCAAGTTAATATGATTGGATATGAGTATGAGTAAGTCTGTGTATGAGTAAGTCTGTGTATGAGTTAGTCTTGAGGAGGAGGAGGAGGAGGAGGAGGAGGAGGAGGGGCGACCGTACCAAGAAAGGACGAGACGAGGGCAGGCGGGCAAGACGCGAGAAGAGGGCAAGTGTCCACACGTCCGCTTGTCTCGTCTATGGCTGCATCGCGTGCAGTGCAGCAGCTAGGCACTCAGTGCCTGTAGTGTAAAGAAGCGCGGCGCGGGGCGCGGCGTGCGTAATGATACGCAGTTTGTTGTAAAAGTGATATGAAAGCGCTGTCCTGCGAACAGCTTCTGAAACTGTGTGCTCTGGGTTTGCGCGTTGCTCTGACGTCCCTAGGCCAATTCGCACGAGGGGGTCCGAGGAGAGAAAGGAACGGGTTAACGCGAGGAAGTGCAGAAGGCGGGGACAGGTGAGGTAGTGGCCGAGACGGTCTGGGCAAGCTTCGCGCCCGAGCAGACACGTGCGGCGCGGTCCAAACGGGAATCGGTGGCTGGTCCACCACGCTCCCGCTAGCGTTTTTAAAGACAGCCCAGCGGATGGCTGGTGCTTTCTTTGAAAGGTATTCTGAAAACTCCTTCCAGCGGGTTGGCAGGGTTGGAGGGAGCACGACTTCTGGGAGAGCCGACGAGAGGCGGCGCGCTAGGGTCTCTGCGAACTTGTCGGGGAAGAGGGAGGAGTGGAGGACCGAAGCAAGGGTTCGCTGGACCCTAGCACGGCGCGCTTCGTTGGTGGCAGCGGCGTGCTCATCTGCAGCAGCGCGCTGTGCCGCGCGCCAGATGGGCAGTGAGACGGCGTATGGCGGCTGACCGTCGGCGAGGCCGCGCCAGTATTCGACGATACCTGGACTCTTCCAAACCACAGGCGAAACCGTGGCCCGAATACGGGCCTGCCCCAAATCCGCCAGGGACAGCTCTGGATTGAGCTGGTCCTGGGCCAGGACGAGCGCGCGATGCAGCGGCTTCCAGTCGGGAAGCGCGGTAGTGGCAGTGCGCCAGGCAGCTGCGAGTGAAAGCGTGACCAGTGAGTTGGGGGAGGACGAGGGCGACCACGAGCGAGTACCGAGGAGGTCGACGAGGCGCCAGGAGTTGGGGGGTGCACGTAAAATCTTGCGCAGCGTGCCGCGTTCATGCCGCAGAAACGCGGCGGGGAACGGGAAGTATGCGTGAGATACGACAGCACAATTATTCACACATGTGTTATATAATTTGATGGCAACTGAGGGGCCTGGCGCGCTCGCCGCAAGCTGCACCACCCGTAGCCAGCATTTATCAAATGCGGCCTTCCACTGGATGTCTAGAGTGACGGCGGGACCGATGAGTACCCCTAAATAGCGGGCGTACTCGGCGATCTGAATGTGTTGCCACTCTGGAACTAGAAATTTGAGCAAGCGCTGAGTGAGAGATTGCACGGCAGGTGAGAAGGCGGCCCACGAGGGCACGATCACTGTCTTCTGAATATGAAGTTCGAGTCCTGCGAGAGTGGCAATGGCCCGAAAAGGGGGAAGGAGGAAAGGGGGGGTCCCAAGGCGATCGAGGACAAGGCCCAGATCATCTGCGCAGGCACCGAGCTTGTTAGATCCAGGAAGAAGGTGTAACATCTGGACGAGATGACGGATGGGGGCATCAAACGCAAGGGCCCAGATCGATCCTGAAAGAGGACAGCCCTGAAGCACCCCAGAGCCGATTTCGAACATGTACTGAAGCTGGCCACCGACGTGGGCCCACGCCCCTGGAGAATGGTAAAACGCACGAATGACATTGAGATACCCTGGGGGGATTCCGTGAGCCACCAAAGAAGCAAACAGGAATTCCCATCCTAAGGATGGGAAGGCAGCTTTGATATCGAAACTGACTAAGATGGGAAGGGCATCTAGGGCAGCTGGGGAATGGCCTGCTCTACGGGCTTCAGAATCTAGCGTCAGAACGTGTTGTCCGAAATCACGGCCCCTTACGAACCCCTGCTGCGTGTCTACCGTTCTCTCTTTGACCATATCCACTAAGCCCATGTTCACGACGTGGGCAATCAGTTTGGCGTCGCAGTTCTTTAGGGAGAGGGGGCGAGTGGCACCTGGAGCACGAAATGCGGCGTATTGGTCCTGGGGCTCATCACCTTTTGGAAGAAGCGCGAAGACGGAACCGTTGAACTGAAACGGGGCCAGGCCTGTTTCGAACATCTGCATCATGAGGTCATATAAGAGCTGAGAGGAGCCTGGAGAGGTAGCCCATGCAGCATAAGGTATCTGGTCAGGGCCTGGGGCAGTGTGACGTACCTCACGTAGGGCTCTCTGAAAGTCCTGAAGAGCTGGAACCCGCAGGTCCGCGCAATCGAAGACGGGGAGGTGCTGGGCCAAGTACGCCTGGACCGCGTTGGGGTCCACGATCTTGCTCGAGAAGATGGGCTGCCAGAACTTCTGAAGACCTCCGAAAATGCCCTCGGGTGAGCTAGTGGTGGGGAGGGCATTGGTGGGTGTCCCCTCTTTTGGTATCCTAAGTCCTGAAAGAACGAGGCGACGACGAAATGGGTTCCAGGCCTGCGCCCGGCGTGTGAGCTGCATCGCGGCCTTGCGGCTGCCGGCCTGGTCCATCTGCATCTCGGCGTGGGACTGCAGCTGGCGCTTCGTGGCGATGGCGACGCGTCTGTCGTAGTCTGCGGTAACAGATGCATCCATAAGCTTGATGCACTCGTCTCTGTTGATGAGCTCGGGCCCGTTGTCGGTAAGGCGAAGGTGAGCGCCGCCAATGTCCGTCGCGGCCATGAGGAGTGCTGCCGTGTCTGAGTCTTTTCGCCAAACCGTCCGAGCA